TTCACTGTAGGAACCTCATGACTGGATCAGAAGGATGAAGAAGTAGCTGGGGATGTATGACCAAGTTACTGGTGACTTCCAGAGCTCATCCCTTGGAGCACTGACAGTGAATAAGTCAAGACTGAGCACAGTAGAGATCCATCTCTGAGAATGTCTCTTCCATACCTGCTCATTTCTTCCCAGCGAGGCGGTGTGTGTGTGTGTGTCTGTGTTTGTGAGTGATGTGGGAGAGGCAGAAACAGACATACACACACACACACACACACACACAGAGAGAGAGAGAGAGAGAGAGAGAGAGCTTATTTCTGTGGCTGGGGGCTGTGGGGCTGGTCTTGGTGCAGGTCACACAGGTGACCTATTACCTGTTCTAATGTTAGGGAATCTGGGAATGACCACAGCCCAACTGTGACTAACAGAGAGAAGGTCAGACTAGTGGGTCTATACCATCGTTTTAAAATGTATGCTCCTTAAACTATTGGTAGGATATCATCAATCTCTAAATTACTGGGACATCAAATCAGAGACCTACTCCTAGTCTAAGAATGCTATGTCTTGTGTGAGTAGACAAGTGGTGTGTTTCTACTGTCACAGCTATTTTGATGAATAATCTCTAGTTCTAGCAAATGGGAATATTTGGCAAGAGAAGCAGTTTGTTAAAATCTGTTTGATTTATTCATCAGATAGATTTATAGTAGATTTCAAATTAATAGCATAACCTAGGGGTTTTTATTAATGACACCAAAGTGTCCATGGGTAAAATACGTTGTCACTGATTTGCTTCAGAATACCCCAACACTCACCCTCAATGAAGTTGCAGGTATGAACGAAACAAGACTGTAAAGCCATACATAATTTTTGAAGCTAGGTTTTGGACACATATGGATTCGTTTTAATATTTTCTCTATTTTTGGTATGTTTGAACACTTCCAGAAGAAAAAGTTAAATAAAATGGAGAAAGTGTTAATAATAGACTCCTAGGCTTTCAAGCAACCTCCAGGCTTTATTTACTTATCCCATAATCTTTCCTTGGAATTCTGTTGTGCCGGCAACGCCACCCATGAGATACAGTTTTATGAGCAGTTTGAAATGAGAAATGTGATGGGCAAATATCAAGTATTGTTAATGATTTATGTAATTATCATTGGATTCATCACAGCTGACAGGTGGCTGCTTCTGAACACTCTCTCAGCAGGCAGGGAGATTAGGAGAGGGTCCCCCTTCCTAAGGTTGCTGGCTTTGCTGACCATCCTTGTCATAGGAACAGAGCTGTGAGGAGTCAGGAGCACTGGAGACCCCTGGTTTCAATGGATCCACATCCACTGCAGCGGCCCCAATCTGGACCTGGTCAGTGTTGCCACTGCTGATGGATTTGTCCAGGGAGCGAGAGAACATACGCTGGTGATTAAAATAATGTTTTCTCTAAGTTACTGCAAACTTTCTCCTGTGTAGTTGAGGCAACACTTCCAGTTGTGGTGAGAGATTGGACAAAAGAAAAAGAAAGCATACAATGTTAAAGCTGGCAGGACCTTAAAGACACTGCCTAGCCTTGTCACTCAGCAGTAAGTTGCAGATGACTCCTCCAGATCTTGATGAGGCCCGCAGGCCCTCGTTTAAGAACCTCGCTTGCTGCTTTCTTGCTTCTATGGGGCACATTCTGGTGATGAAGGCCAGCTGTTTTTCTCCACCAGCCTGGAGTTCTCTCAACTTTGTTTCTGGCTTTGAGAGTCCCTGGCCAATTGTCTGGAGGCCCAGAGAGCCACTGTTAGTCTAAGGTCGCTTAAAAAATAAGGCTAATCCCGGTCCTGGATTCTGCCAGATTCCTAGAAAGACTGACAGTGAAATTGTCATTTCGTGCTTGGGAAACCAGACTTCACAATGGTTTTCAATGGGACGGTCCATCAAATATGTAAGAATCCAACAACATTCTTTTTTCGGAGTTGGAATGACTCAGTCCTAATTCAGTCTTAAATAAATAATGTGCTGGACCTTCACTTAGGCCCGTTTAAGTGTTTTTTTACAATTCTCTCCCCTGACTGAGGGGACAATTAGGCCAGCATGTTCTTCCTTGGAGCGACAGACTCTCAAATAGCTCATTTTCCATGGCCTTAGCTTTACTTTGACAACGGGACAGTCTATCCAGGAAGGTGAATAAAAGTTTCCACCTCTTGCAAATTTGAATAGATAGATTTTCCTGCTTCTGTTCTTCCCATCAACATTTCATAGGCCTCAGAACCCAGTCTGGTCATAGTGGAGTCTAGGTGCTTCCTTATCACTCAGCAGTGTGTCTGCAAGGGGAGAACTTCCTTCAAGCACACAGTTTAGGGAACTCAGCCCTGAAATGCAAGGGTGGCCTCCTTCTTGCACATCTTACTCCTGGGAACTTCGCTTTCCCCCTGTGCATCAACTCCTGACATATTGAGAAAAAAATTCAAACGCTTTTTTAAAAAAGTCAAATACAGAGTATTTTAAACATGATTGAAATATATTAATTTACTTCCCCGAATTCATCCTAAAACAATTTATTAAACCCCTACTATATGTCAGGCATTAAAGGGAAAACCCTCTCCTTTTCCTCTTATTGCCACAGATTACATGGGTCCCCCTTTTGACACATCATCTCAACTATGACCTGAAGGTTTATGTCAGGATGGATGCCTGTGGGATTAACATATACTGAAGCAGAGATAAAATTTTTCATAATGGAAAGAGGCTAAAAATTAAGAAAAGGCTACAACATGACCAAAAAAATAGTGACGCCATAGGTAGCACCTCTAGGGATTCCCTTGGGTCATCCAGATCAGTTAACTATGCAATTCTTATTATTTAGTTGTCCAAATTTGGGATATCTTTTTTGTGCTCATTGTTACACCTTTCTTATTCTGAAGACTTAGCCACAATCATTATCTTCTGAGTCACAATACATGAAAAGGTGAATGGTCCAAGTTTCTAACAGTATTACTGCTGATAACATGAGATCTCAAGCATTGCAATGGCATAGCTGCCTCCCTAGGCAAACAATGTAGTCATAAATATGGGTAATCAAGAAGTATAGCAAGAGAGAGAGAAAAAGCAGCAGGTGATGAAAAAAAAAAAAAAAGAAAAAAGAAAACCTGGTCTACTTGGGTAATACCCAATAAACCAGCCCCTGTGTCCTGCCTCCAGGACAATAAGATAGCAGGTGTTTTGAGTCAGTCCTGCTTTATTGAGAGCAAAGCCAGCCTCTAGCTGGCCTGGAGAGGCAGGAATGACAAGCCATGGAATAGGAGGGGAAATTGATCAACATCAAGGCTGTAGAAAAGAAATTCTATCACCTGGCTTGCTAATTTGTAAACAAGGCACTCCTAGGCTGAGAATCCCAGTTGATAATAATTGCATTACTGGTAACCTACAAGTTCTCCTTTTTCTTTGATTATTCTGGTTTTTTTTTTGGCCCCTGTAGGATGCTGAATCTCTGGCAAAGGTGGGCAGTGAGTGATTGCATTTTGTGAGCAATATTTTACCCCCTGTTGAATTATCTGGCATAGTTTGTGTGGGGTGGGAGGCTGTGGAGAAGGGCCAAGGAAGGATGAATTGGTGTGCCCACCCACAAAGGGCTGCAGCATGAGAAGGCTTTGAGCTGAAAACACACATTCAAGTCTCCCCAGTTAGTTTTCATTTGGATTACCCTCGTCAGGAGTTCTGGTTGGGAATGGGGAAGGAATCAGGAGAAAGTGGTGGAGAGATCTGTGAAGAGAGGTAAATGGAAGAGGCTTGACAGGTATCAAAGTCTGTAAAGAGAAGGGAAATAACATTTGTTTCAAACTCATCAAGCTGCCTTGGTTCCTGTCTCTCTTTGGGCCCATGTTTATCATGTAAATAATTTCTCATTTGCCGTCCCTCTGAAGCCTCCTTGAGGGGCACGAGTGTATCATTTTCCTTTTACATGGACTGCCCCTCACATAGTTTTCTCCTATAATGTGATATCAGTGAGGCCTTTTTCCTTTGATATACCTATACATTGTGTAATGATTACCAAAAAATTACCACACCCATGCCCACCCATGCTGTACATTAGGTCCCCAGAATTGTTCATCTTATATCTGAAAGTGTGTACCCTTTGATCAGCATCTCCCTATTTCCCCTGCCTTTCCAGATCCTGGTAACCACCATTCTCCTCCCTCCCTCTAGGAGTTCGACTGTTTTAGATTCCACATATAAGTAAGATCATGTAGTATCTGTCTTTCTGTGCCTGGCTTATTTCACTTTAACATAATGTGCTCCGGGTTCATCCATATTGTCACAAACGGCAGACTTTCCTTTTTTATGAATGAGTAATATTCTATTGTGTGTGTGTGTGTGTGTGTGTGTGTGTGTGTGTATCCACTGCGTTTTCTTTACTCATCTGTCCATGGATATTTAGGTAGTTTCCATATCTTGGCTGTTGTGGATAATGCTGCAATGAACATGGGAGTGTTGGTATTTTTTTGAGATAATGATTTTATTTTCTTTGGCTATATAACTGGAAGAGAAGAGAGACAGCTGGATTGTATAACAGTCGTTTTTTTCTTCAAAGAGTTTTTCATCCTTCTCATGGGGGCTTCTCTGAGAAAGAAATAACATGTACTAAAGATATTAAAGAGCGTTTTACAAAATAAGGCATTTTTGGTAAAAGCCATTGCTGTTTTCCAGTGATCAATATCTGTTTCTATGTGTTGCTGATCTTTCTAGCCTTTCTTTTGTCAGTTTAAATTTTTGTTCAATTCCCTAGAAGCTTTAACTGCTAACAGCTAACAGCTGCAGGAGGGAGATGCCTGAATTAGGGCAGGTGTGTTTGGCACAGGGCTAAGCTGTGTCTCTGTCAGGGATACAAACTCCAGTCAAGATATGTTAGAGGCTGTTTAAGGATCATTATGATAGCCAGGTGATGCTAAATTGTAATTACCTGCTGTTAGCCATTGGGTGGGTGGGGAGAAGAATGGGGGGGGTGATGTTTATAAATGGCAGGTGTAAGGAGTGAAAATAATTTGTTTTCAATATGAGCTTATTCCCAAATTGGCTAACGGGTATGTTTAAAGCCAGGCTAAATTAAAGGAATCCAATTTTCTCACTAGTATTTGGTAGCACATGGGTTCAAGGAGACTACGTGTCATATCCAGAAGAGTTCTGTACATGAACTGGACTTAATTGCTCCGAGAGTCACTGGAGCTTTCTTTAATCAGAATGGAAATCAGGATAAGCTGAGGTCTTATAGATTAGTAATACTTAAGGCAGAACATTAACACCGTGCCTTGTAGCTGTTAGTTGGTAGAGGGAAATTCAGGCTACCGTCACAAAACCTGCAGGTTAAATTATTTTCTCCTCCCTGCTTCTGTAGGTTCACAGGGTTCCCTTCTGATCGAGTTTTTTGCCTGTGTTGTAAAGCTCTTTGGCTGAGATGGATGACAAAGATATTGACAAAGAACCAAGACAGAAATTAAACTTTTCCTATTGTGAGGAGACTGAGATTGAAGGGCAGAAGAAAGCACAAGAAAGCAGGGAGGCTTCGAGCCAAACCCCAGAGAAGGGTGAGGTGCAGGATTCAGAGGCAAAGGGTACACCACCTCGGACTCCCCTTAGCAACGTGCAGGAGCTCGACACATCTTGGGAAAAAGACAAAGAAAGTCCAGATCAGATTTTGAGGACTCCAGTGTCACATCCTCTCAAATGTCCTGAGACACCAGCCCAAGAAGACAGCAGGAGCAAGCTGCTGCCGGGTGACAGCCCCTCTACTCCCAAAGTAAGTAAGGGGTGGGGGAAAATGGACCCAGGTCGCCAAGCTCCGCTTCCTGTAATTTAGCTGATAGTGACAGTGGATTCATGTGTGTATGACAGTCACTTCCAGGCTGTGGATGTCCTCAATTACAGATTTATTGATGAAAATAAAGAAGAGATTAAAATTACCAGAAAATGGACAGAATTAAATGGTTTGCCAGCTGTCTTCTCAAAACCATTGGTGCCAGTAACTATTGGCTATTGGCCACAAACAAATTTTGGGTAGAAAAACGTTCCTAAAGAATATTGGACCTGGAAGGAATTTTGAGATTTAGAGCCCCAGCTGTGCACTTTACATATGAGAAAATGAAGGGCCCAGGACAGAAGCTGTCTCATAGCTCAGCCAATGTTAAGAGACAGCACTAGAAACCTGATCTTTTTGGCCTAGTCTGTTCTTTCCATTACGCCAACTGGCTCTATTTTTGTGTGATTATTTGCTAATACTTTCTAATATAAGAATGTCCAGATTCACTGTTCGAACACATTCATCTCTCTGCTGCTGCTCCTCCCGGAAGAAACTCCTCTCCCCTCCTTGGTCTCGTGAAATACAGGTTCTATTATATGTCAGCAAAGACGAAACTTGTTGATACTTCTTTATAAGCTGAGGATGGCAAATAAGCAACAGTCTCTGGTAGCATATTCCTTTATTCTTGTTGTGATTGGTGTCCTGTTGCATCGTTCATGTTCTTAAAGCCATAGTTGGGGCAGGGTTACCTCTAATCAACTCTGGTGCCATGGTGTGTGAGTACTAGGATTGGTATTAGCTCTGCTTCCTGCTGGCTCAGCTTGAGGCACTTAAGATCATCATCATAACATCTGTGATCCTGACTGCGGCACAGTTGCTGTCAGCCGGTCTCTTTAGTACCTGCTGGGTGTGGGTACCATGTATACCAGGAAATTCTAAGCTGCTTGTTTGAATTGTAGAAAAACTAATATGCTCTGATGTCTATCTCTGGGTTTTTCAATGGTCACAGCACCAACCAATTAATCACCCATTTACTCTTTGAGAATTCCCTGTAGGTAAGGAGCATATAATACAGTCTCTGCCCTCAAAGAGCTTACAGTCTAGCAAAGAGAAGTTATGCCAATAGACACTATGTGATAAGTGTGGTCAGAACCCGCTGGACACATTCTCAGTGCAATGATCAGAAAAGACAGGTATCGGAAGGGCAACGAAAGTTGGTCGTTTTGATATATGGGGGAGAATGGGCTTAGAGAATGTGGCTTTGAGTAAGAGTACACAGGGAAGAAAACATGACATTCATTTGATCATTCACAGCTTAACTGAACACCTTGATATGTTAGCAGACCCTCTGCTGGCAAAACCCATTCACTGCCTTCAAAAAGAGCCCACAAAATGAATAAAGATTAAATAAATGAAACAATAAAGTTCAAACCATGTGTACTAGAGGAATGGTTGAGCATGATGAGAAGGAATTAGGAATTAAATCTCTCTCAGGGAAGACTTTCCAAAGAAAGTAATGTTTGAACGATGTCTTAAAGGATATTTAGTTAGCCAGGCAAAGAGGGGAATAGGAATTCTAGGCAAAGGGGAAAGCATCTATCAAGTTACGGAGGGTAAGGAGCTACTACACTTGGAAAACAGCGTGTTATTCAGTGTTACAGGAGCCTGTGTGTGAGAGAGCGCAAGAGATGAGGCCAGTGTAGGTGGGCAGAAGTTGGATCAAGATTTTAATCCTGAGAGTGTTGAGAGAGCCATTACCATGGTTTTGAGTAGGGGGATTGTCTTGGAAAAATCATGACCTTTGTATGTATTATGGGATGGAGCATGAGAGAGCCTGGAGGTAGAGCAGTATTCAGAATAGACCTATTGAACAGAGAAGAGCCTGGACTGGGACAGACAGTGAAAAATTAAGAGATGACTTGATGGAGGGGTTCAGGGAAAAACAAAACAATCTGATGACTGAGGTTTCTTGCTTGGTTCAGTAGATGGAATCAAGATAGGTGACACTGAGGAATAAACGGGTTTGGAGAAAAGCAGAGATGTGGTATAAAAAGTTGGATAACTGGATCTGGGGCACAAGAAAACAATGAAAATTGGAGATCCATATTTGGATATCTACAGCATTTAGGAAGTAGTTGAAGCCATGGGTGGAGATAAGGTCACATAGCCTGAGTGCCAGAGTAAGGAGAGAAATGGCCCAGTTAGAAATCTTGGATAATGCCAAGGTTTAAGGGAGAGGCAAAGAACAGGGCTTGGGAGCAAAAGTGAAATGCAACTGGGAAAGTACATACTTTATGCAAACATAGTTTGTGTTAGAGGAAAGAGGCTTGGCGGCTGATCATTGTTCTGCAGAAGACAAAGCTGATGGGAAAGGAGGATTGGCTTAGTCAGTCTTGTCCAAGGGATTGAACCAGAAATCATGTGAAATTCAGTTCACTGTAAGGACTTCCTGACAGAATCATCTAGAGATAGAAGAGCATGCTTAGGAGGTGTACGCTCCCTGTGGCTAAAAGCATAGAACACTCATTGATGACCACTTGGTAGGAATACTGCAGAAGGGATTTGTTAGTGTGTTTGCCTTGCTACAAAGGAATACCTGAGACTGGGTAGATTATAAAGAAAAGAGGTTTATCTGGCTTACAGTTCTGCAGGCTGTACAGTAAGCATATTGCCCATATCTGCTTCTGGTGAGGGCCTCAGGAAGTTGACAATCATGGCACAAGGTGAGCAGAAACGAGGCAGCTTGTTACATGGTGAGAGAAGAAGTGAGAGAGTGGAAGCAAGACAGGAAGGATTGCTGTCAGGCTCTTTTAAACAACCAGATCTGGCGTGAACTAACAAAATGAGAACTGATTCATTACCATGAGGATGGCACCAAGGAACCCACCTCTGTAATCCAAATGCCACCCACCAGGCCCTATCTCCGGCACTGGGGATTATATTTCAATATGATATCCAAATGGTATCAGGATTCAAGCATCAGGGGACTAATCATATTGACTGGGCCTTTAAAAAATCCAAACATCCCAATAATATCAGGATTCAAGCATCAGGGGGCTAATTGTACTGACTGGGCCTTTAAAATCCTTCTCTGTCCCAAGATACTATGTTTGTGTGTTTGTGAGAGGTTGCCTTCTCTTCTCACCATCTTCATAAGTCAAGTAGCTATCTGCCAAATTTCCCCAATCTCCCTCAATCATCTGTGCTAGAGCTATTCCTTATAGAATTATTTGCCCTCTCTGGAGCACATTTATACTCTCAACCTGTGTCATCTTTCAATAAATTTTCAAATTGCTGTACTTCTAAGCAGAAGTTCTTTCCATATGTCTTATCCCAAACTATGTTCTTTGAGATTTTGAAAGGATTACTCATAATTCTACTATTCCAGCAATAATGACTATATTAACATAATTAATATCCTTCCCTACATCATAAGTGGTGCTCACAGATTCTCTTGGCCCTCATATTTCCTAACTAGAAAATCTAGTCTTCCCTGATATGAATAATTTTTATCTGAATATTTTCTAGGCCCCTTATATTTTCCTTGAGATGTGGCAACTAGAACTATGTGCTGCATTCCAGGTGTGGCTACCCACTGTTTCATATGTAATAGATGCATTTTACTTTCCACATGATAATCAGCATTACAAAAAACTAATTCTCAGAATGACTTACAACAAAATTCTAGGTCCATTTTGCAAATCGCACTGATAACTGAGAAATATCATTATAGTTTCGCTTATTTTGAACCAATACTCAGTCTTCATGATAAACACACAGGAAAGCTGTGAGTCTGTCAACAAGGGCTTGTCTGCCCCCTGGATTCTTCAAGCAGCCCTATGAACTCCAAGATATGAGAAACACTTAACTCTGGCAATGACATCATTTTTCTTCAGTTTTAAAACAAAAAAGGCTAGGTTACTGTGATTTTCCATAGCTTCCTTCATTCCTGCTTATTCAATCATTTCTTTAGTATTTACAATAGATCCAATATTCATTTTTTGTAGACTCACATTCTTTAATGAATCATGCAATCTGGCTTCTGCTGCTACACTAAAATATCATGCGCAGAGACGATCAGAACTGTAGAAGTCTTTTAGAAAGAGCCTCACAGTGCAATGCTTATACTGTGGCCCCTGTGTGTGCTGCCATACTCCTGAAGATCCATAACACAGCTACTCCTCTGGCCCCTGACATCAGGTCAGCATTCTGCCTTCGAACTCTTTGGCTTTTCCCTTTGCCCTTTGGTTTCATTCTGGTTAGGTTTAGGCTGATGTTCTCTTCTTGTATCCCACTTGGAGTGGTAAGTCCTGCACATTTGCCTATTTATTGGTAGCTGGTTGTAGCCACTGCAAAGATCTGAATCTTAAGGGCTTAGAGTACTAATTTTCAATCTAATTACCCCACTTCATGAAGCACTCCTCAGTTAATGCTATATTTTAAGTGAAATTTAAAACTTTTTTTCATGTTTAAATAGTCTATGAAATCTTTTTCTTATAAGGTGATTATTTCTGAAACACTGATGAACTGCTGAATAATGAACTATATATTCCTTAAGATTTAGAATTCACTTCTGTATCACTTGGCATCTAACCCAGCATCTGCTACGTAGTAGGCACCAAACAAATATTTGGATGAATAATTGAGAGGAAGTTAAAGCATAAGCTGTGAGAATATAGAGTCATTTTTATTTGTCTAAACTTAATGTCTTTGTCTTTAAAAACTGGAGATTGGACTACAACTGGTTTTCATAGCCAGCTAACAGAATTGTCCAGGGGAAGGGTTAGAGTTTGACTAAAGTACAGACTCCTGTGTTGACTTCATGAATCAGAATATCTAGAGGCAGAGACTGGGATTCTGTAGTTTTCATAAGAAGAGCAGTTACAATGCAACTAGTTCGCATGGAACCAGATAATCTCTAAGGCCCCTTCAGCAAAAGCATTCTTCGATTCAAATATTAACTAGCTAACTGATACGGAATGTCTTTACTAACGCTATTATGACTTGTCTTTTGTCATCCTCATTCAGAGCATGCTGAGCCGGTTGGCGATTTCTCCAACAGGGAAGCTTCCCTCCAGGGGCCCTAAGCATTTGAAGCTCACACCTGCTCCCCTGAAGGATGAGATGACCTCATTGGCTCTGGTCAATATTAATCCCTTCACTCCAGAGTCCTATAGAAAATTATTCCTTCAATCTGGTGGCAAGAGGAAAATGCGAGGAGATCTGTAAGTGCTCTATTACTTATCACTTTTGAGAACTGACCCTACTACAGTTAAGCGGTAAGAAGTGAGTGTTAAAGTAAGATTAGGAATGAGAACTCTATCTGAATGAAATGTATATGCTTACATATTCTCCCCTCCCTAGATATCATTGCTGGTTTTACCTGCCTTATCCCAGAGATTCTAACATCTTTCCATTCTGACGTGTACTGAAGATGCTTTCTCTATAAAAGAACAAGACAGAATAAGCAATAGATTTCTGGCTTCTACTAGGAAGTTGAGTGGGCTGTGGAATTGCCTTCAAGGGGCCCCCTCTGGTTAATATGAGGCTGGCAGTTGTGGAAGGTGTAGTTCAAACTTCAAAGAGTATGTTGCTGCTTTGAGTCTTGTGTGACTAGTGATGAAAGCTATAGAGCAAGGATTTGAACTTCTCTGTGGGTGATCAAAGATTGGCTGAAGCAAAAAAGCATTGCTTTCAGAGCTGCCAAAGAATAGAAAGCCAAACTGCACTATTCCATAAAGGCCCCTGAATGACAGAAATTGTCCAAATAAGGATTGTGCATATTACTCAGGAACATGACTATGTCTCTTCAAGGCCTTTATAGAATGGAATCACTTCCAAAGTGGGGCAGTCATTTATGTTCATATGTACTCAGCAAAAAAATGGACAGCTAACAATGTAAACTTTGCAGAGTGTTTAATGTGCTATGTCAAGTTGTTTCTTTGGAATCAATGAGTATGTGTTAATCAGTCTTTGACCAGAATAGGTTCTCTCAACACTATCTCCTTCTTACTTAAGTAAACGGCACTTCAGCACAAGTCTACTCACCTACTTTGGTTACCAAGAATTCAATTGGTTTTAGTTCTTTAGGAGTCTTTGTAAATCATTACACTCTCATTGAAGCCAGGAACAAAGACAGCTGATTTGAAATCTTGGCAATGAAAGTGGTGACACTTTTGTAGTGTCATTTGGTGCTTCTAAGAGTATTTTTCCTTATTTTTATAATTTATAAAACACTTCATAAAGTATTATAATGTGGTACTAAATCACAAATACCAAGCATCGATTTAGTTCCATGAATGTAGCGCCCTCCATTTGCCATTTCTACCTTGTGTTTCTCCAAAAGAAAAATCTATAGCTAGTTGAAATCTTGCTTAAGGATCCAGAATACAAGTGTGTGTGGCAAAGAGGATGTCTGCTGGTCACTTAGCTTATTTAAGAGTAATTGAAAATATCTTATCCCGGGTTATAGCAGATTCTGCCCTACTTGTAGTCTACCTGTGAACTGATTACAAAGCCAGATTCTGGGGGAGGGGTGGGTGTTGGAAGGAGAGTGTGGTGTGGCAGTGAGGAGCAAATGCTTTGGCGTCAGACCTGGCTCCAAGTCCCAGTTCTGCCACTTGCTAATTGTTTGACCTAGAGTTATTTAACCTCTCTCTGTCTTGGTTTCCTAGTTTGTGGATAACGATACCCATTTAACAGTTTCACATACGTTCTGTGCTGTCTTGCTCCAGCACATGGTGTTCTACCTGCTGAAAACCTCACTCTTTTCCCTTTCCTAGTTCCTACTCATTCCCAGAATCTTGGCTTATATATTCTCCCTTCTGGGAAAGCTTTTTACTCTTGAAATAATTGAGTGCTGTCCATGGTATCCTTGCTATCTTATCCTGTTCTAGGTTCTTGTATTGAAATGTCCTGGTTATCCCTGCCTCCACATTTAAACCAAAGAGAAAATGATTGTCTTATTTACTCTTACATCCCTAGAACCTAGCATAGTTCAGGCTCAATAAATATTATATATTGATAAACTTTTTTTTTTCTTTAAGTGAGGAAGCTGGTCCAGAGGAAGGCAAGGGAGGCGGACTACCTGCCAAGGTAAGCGTGGTTCTTTGGCCCAGCTGCCACAACATAGGCAGTTTATCCTATTCTCTCTCTCCTTCCCCTCCCCTTCTCCCTCTCTCTCCTCCCTCCTCCCTTCTTCCCTACCCTCCCTGTTCTCCTCCCTCACCCTCCCCTTCTCGCCTTTGTTCTGCACACTCCCTCCCCTTCTTCTGCCCTGCTCCTTCTGCCCTGCTCCTTCTGCCCTCTCTTCCCCATCTCCCCTCCTCCCCTCCTTTCTCCTACTTTCCTCCTCTCCTCCCCTCCCCACCCCACCCCACCTCATACTCTAGCTTTGTAAATGTGCTTTGCAGCTGAATTTATCTGGACCCTACTCAGGGTCTATGTTCTCCGCGAGTTGTAACTTTGCCAGGCAGTGTCTGATATGTATATGCTGAATCATTACTTTAGAGTATTTTAAAATTAAGTATTTCTGCTTCTATCTTTAATCTGGAGAAAAATTCTACACTCATGGGGTAGAGAAGTGGAGGGAAAATTAAGATATTTTTGGTCTCAAAATAGAAAAAGGGAATTGGAAAAAAATGGCATAGAGCCAGAGATTGATATGTACATTTTTAGCTTTTAAATGTATTAATATTTGATTTTATAATGTTCACAACCTTTGATCTATCCCTCATTTGATAATCTAACCTAAAAAAAATACTGTAAATATTATCCTCAGAGATGCTGATTGTAATAGCAAAACAGGGGGGAGACCAAATGCCTTATAATAGAAAAATGGCTAAGCTGATTACAGTTTTAATGTAATATTGTTAATTTAATACTCAGTGGAGTATTAAATTGCCATTAAGATGTTTATAATACCTTGAAAACATGTGTATGTTCAAGGTTCAGAGTGAAAAGACTCAAAGTTTTATATCATGAATGACCATAACTACCTATTGCACATTAATCACAGGGAGAATGAAATGCAGCTATAACCACTGCTATTTCAACATTTTTGAAAGGTGGAAATTTAATATTTGTTTTTCCTTTAAATTTCTAAAGTTTTCTGAAGCAAGTTTTATTTGCATAAATAAATATGTTAATATGTTAAAAATGTTAGCACTTGGCTATTGTAGACATCATAGAAAAGAAGGCCACTGGCACAGTCTTTCCTTCATATGCAAATGTTTCTGACTTAGGCCTTCATTATTTTACTCTTGGATTTTATTCCTCACTTATTTTATAATTTATCTCTTGATTTCAGATAGAAATTCTAATGTTTATTGAACATTAAATAAGTGCAAAGCATTGTATTTAGTTAGACCCTTTAAGGAAAAAAATCTGCCCAAACAGAAGTTAAAACCTTTGAAATTTCAAAACAATCTATACATAAATAAGAAGCTATGAGATATGTGTATTTGTGTATATGTGTATGTACATATGTGCAATGTGAATATACATATGCGTGTATATATTTAAAATCTAGAAGGGGTTAGTAAATACTTCTAAGAAATAGGACGTGGGTAGGAAGAGATTGTATATTAAGATAATTTTAGGCTAAGGAAGTAAACAACTTAATGCTATCAAGGCAGGAGAACAGAGTTCATGTGTAAGGGGGCAGGGTGGGAGGGGAGTGGTCAGGGATAGATGCAGATGGTACACTGGCTTCGTTGGTATCTAGGGGGAGGGTAGTCAAGTAGTGAGTGTGCAGTTGGTAGAAGGTCTTGAGGCTTTCTTATCAGGAGTTTGAATTTCTCATGGGAAACAATTAGGTATCTCTGATTCTATGGTATCATTTTGCAAAAATAACTCTTATTATTAGAAGAGTTGAAGAGAGGGCTGGTAGCTGTAGCAAATCCAAACAAGAAGGGAACAGAGCTTGAGACTCGCTAAGGGTAATGAAAATTAGAGATCTTGCTGATGAAAGTGATTGGAATTAGATGTTGAAAATGAGGAAGTAGTAAAACTCAAGATTTTTCAAACTCATAAAGTTGGAGAAAAATTCTTCAGGATTGGGACACTGAGAAAAGGTGACTTTGGAAGATAAATCAGTTTGGATTTAGACTGATATAAATTTATGGAGATTTTTTGGTCATAATAGTTTAATCAGAATTTACTATGTACTTGACACTATCCTAAGGTACGTGTTATGTGTACTATATGTAATACTGTATGTTATCATGTAATATTTAAAAGAACCCTGAAGAGTAGTTGCCATGATCTTCATCTCACAGATGGAAAAACTGAAAGGAGTTCAGATTGACCTGGGGTTATTTACTAGCTGGGCAATGAGTGATGTTGCTAGTTAGCCAGTAGTGGGAGTGGTTGCTAGACCTGAACACATAGTCTGAACTAACCAAAATTGTCAAAGTTTGACGATTTTGACAAGATCATTTCTACAGGCTGGTTTTTTGGGAAAAGAAACAGAAAACAAGTATGCTTATTCAGCTTGAGATGGAAACATTAGCATTCCGACTTTGAGACACGTAAAGAAGAGGGGTCTTTCATTTCTTTTAATTTGCTCCACCCAGGTCCCAGTTATTTTTTGAACTAAGGACAGTAGCTCTGGGTGTGAGAAGTTGTGTCCCCTTAGGAACATGTAGAAAAGAACAGTATGCCCAGATAGAGAAAAGAATATTGAAAAATAAGTGAGAATTGTCAGTATAGGGTTGTACAGAAGGTTACAAAGAAAACAAAGAAGATAGTCAGCAATTGGGCAGATTCTTGCTACCATGAATATTGACACAGGTAGAATTCATTGCAATCACCTCAAAAGTGTTTTTGAAAACTTGGAGCAATTTAGGACTGTAATATTGTTTAATTTTATTGCTGTACAACATGTTAGAATTACTCTAATTTCCTTTTTATTAAAATACTTTAGAGATGTGTTTTAAGAGAAACCAACATGGCTTCCCGCTACGAAAAAGAATTCTTGGAGGTGGAAAAAATTGGTGTTGGCGAATTTGGTACAGTCTACAAGTGCATTAAGAGGCTGGATGGATGTGTTTACGCAATAAAGCGCTCTATGAAAACTTTTGCAGAATTATCAAATGAGTGAGTACCTTTGAAATGCACTAAAAGTATAAACTTAGATTTGGAGAGCTGTTTCTTGTCAAATTATTTTGAATTTATAGCATCGATGTCGTTAAAAATCATTTGTATTTTAAAATCACCCCACATTACATGTTGTCTCATATTCATAACCTTTCTGAGTTTTCCAGCTCAGAGATGTTACTTCCTAAAATATAACATGATAATTTTAGATCATGATGCTTTTCTTTATTTTTTAATTTTTATTTATTTATTTCTGTGATGGAATCTCAGTCTGTCACCAGGCTAGAGTGCAGTGGTGCGATCTTGGCTCGCAGCAATCTCCACCTCCCAGGATCAAGCAATTCTCCTGCGTCAGCCTCCTGAGTAGCTGGGACTACAGGCATGCACCACCACACCTGGCTAATTTTTGTATTTTTAGTAGAGATGGGGTTTCACCATGTTGGCCAGGATGGTCTCGATCTCTTGATCTCGTGATCTGCCCGCCTTGGCCTCCCAAAGTGCTGGGATTACAGGTGTGAGCACCTGGCTGATCATGATGTGTTTGTGTTTTTTTGTTTTTATTGTTTTTGTTCTTGTGGCTTTTACTTTCCACTGCTGGTCTTTCTGACTTAAAAAAAAAAAAAAAAAGAATAGATTTGTGGAATTGTCCTCTGGTGTCTGTTTCATTTATCAGAAATATTACCAAATAGAAAGTTATTATAAACTCAGTGGTTTATCTTTACTTTATGTTAACAATGAATTCAATAGTAAAGTTTCAGAGACTACATGCAAGGGAAAATAAGTCTGATTCCCAGAACTGTTCAAAAGTTTTTCCTTAATCACAAGGAAAATACATATTTTCAGATTCAGCCAATGCTTTTTATGAACTGTGAGGATATACTTAACACGCAGAATCTAGAATTACAGGTTTTAGAATTCTTTTTTTTTTTTTTTTTTTTTGAGATGGAATCTAGCTCTGCTGCCCAGGCTGGAATGCAGTGGCACCATTGTGGCTCACTGTAACCTTTGCCTCCCAGGTTCAAGTGATTCTCCTGCCTTAGTCTCCCAAGTAGCTGGGACTACAGGCATGTGCCACCACACCTGGCTCATTCCTCATTTTTATGAGATTTGTCAAGTACTCTATTTTGCTTAATTTGTGTTGGGATTTTCTATTCCATAAGGAATATCTCTCCCCAAGGCTATTCCTGTGAGTATGTCATATTGGCTGAGGTTAACACTGACTCTAATGACTGCCTAGCCTTTATAGAGATGAATCGAAGGCCCATTACAATATCCACAATCTGGTGTACAGTGGCCTTCTCATTAAGCCCATTAAAATGTTTTGATTGTGACAGGATGAAATGAAGACCTGACGCGCATCTGCCATTGAGGCATAACCACTTAAAGCTCCTCTTTACATATGCCATGTTAAAATAAAAACACAATGGACTTTGGCACCAGGCTGACCAAGGTTCTGCTCTTAAGTCTACTATTACCAGTTCGATTTTGGGCCACTTACTTTCGAAAGCCTTCATCCTTTCCACTGTATATTACCAAATGATTATTAAGATTCAGTGAGATAAAATAGCAAGCAGTGTGCTCTCAATAAATATTCTGCCATTGCTAATAAAGCCTCATAGTTTTAAGAAACATTTTTGTGTACATTATGTTGATTGGTGTCTTTATTCCTCAATGCTTTTCTGTCTCATAGGAATTTGGCTTTGCATGAAGTTTATGCACATGCAGTGCTTGGGCATCACCCCCATGTGGTACGTTACTATTCCTCATGGGCAGAAGATGACCACATGATCATTCAGAATGAATACTGCAATGGTAAGTAGTATATAGAAGAATATCTATGAAGAAGGAGATGAACTTTATAAGCCTTTAGAAATAAACTTTCCCTCCTCCTCATAGTTTATGCCACAGATAGCAGACATACCTAAAAAGTCTATACTATATATTATAGTCTTGCTTGGAAGCACAGAGCTTCTATACCTCTTAAAGGGATCCTCGACTTATTCTTTCTTTCCCTTCTGTTGTCAGGATAATCATTCATTTCAGAAAATATTTATTCCATGTTAGACCTTGGGCAAGTGAAGATGAGTTAGATGTGCTCCCTCCCCTTAAGCAACCTTCAGGCTGGTAGAGAAACCAGAGCTTTGGTGGCTGCAGCCTTCCTCCTTGTTGGCAGTACCTCATGACCTCACCTACAAACTTTGTCTTGGAGGGACTTCTTTTTTTTTTTTTTTGAGATGGAGTTTTGCTCTTGTTGCCTAGGCTGGAGTGCAATGGTGCGATCTCGGCTCACCGCAACCTCCACCTCCTGAGTTCAGGCGATTCTCCTGCTTCAGTCTCCCAAGTAGCTAGGATTACAGACACCTGCCACCACGCCTGGCTAATTTTTTGTATTTTTTTTTTTAGTAGAGATGGGGTTTCTCCATGTTGGTCAGGCTGGTCTTGAACTCCCAACCTCAGGTGATCCACCTGCCTCAGCCTCCCAAAGTGCTGGGATTACAGGTGTGAGCCACCGCACCTAGCCGAGTGACTTCATTTTTAACAAGCTCCCAAACACTCTCTTTCCTTACTTATTCTTTCTAATTAATAAGTCACATATAGCGTATAAATTCTAAGACGACTCTTAAAAAAATAAAAAACTTTATTGTAGCCCTCCTTGTGTTTCTGAAAGGAGCTGAATTTTTCTCCCTTCTGAACTTACATGTCATGCTAAAATAATTCTTTAAATTCAATTTTACACAGAATGCATTTAAATATGAATTCCCTCAAATTCCATGACTATCTCAGAGCTCAACGAGTGGAGCTATGGTCTTTGTAACTGCCAGTTAGAGCTAGGTCTCTATAATTTGAAGAACCTGCCAATGAACACTAATTAATAGTGTTCAGAGGTGGGGCACAATGGCTCACGCCTGTAATCCCAGCAGTTTTGGAGGCTGAGGTGGGCAGATCATGAGGTCAGGAGTTAGAGACCAGCCTGGCCAAATATAGTGAAACCCCGTCTCTACTAAAAATACAAAAATTAGCCGGGTGTGGTGGCATGCACCTTTAGTCCCAGCTACTGGGGAGGCTGAGGCAGGAGAATTGCTCGCACCCGGGAGGCGGAGGTTGCAGTGAGCCAAGACCATGCCATTGCACTCCAGCCTGGGTGACAGAGTGAAACTGTCTCAAAAAAAAAAAAAAAAAAAGGTGTTCAGAAGCATTCTAATACCTTAGAATCAAGATCAGATAGTTATATGAATCCAGGCCTTTTATTTAATTGGTAACAATAAATCGAATACAGTTGATGTACCAATACTGTGGCTCAAATAAGATTTAGGTGTATATGCAGCTTTTATATTTTCCTTGGGTTGGCAGTCATTAAATATTCTTATTTTGTGATCTATTTCTAATGAAATTAGACTTAGACTCAATTAAATTATAAAATAACTGATGGCCTATAACAACTAGCCCGACACTGACATGGAGCTAATCATTGACACCAATAGTAGCTATATGACTATGCCTGATTGATCTTCTAGTTAATAATTAGGTAAAACTTTTAAAATGTTAGCTGGTACATGCTTGAATCAATGGGGCCATATACTGGATACCTGAGATACTAGCATTTTCTTTTCCTCTTTGAAAGCCCTGTAATTCTCCTTTCCAACATGTCTTTGGTATAGATGGGGCAGATATTATGCTTTGCACTGACACAGAATTAATCTATTTGTTGGACTGAAGCCATTCATGAGGAATGTATTCATTATAGTACTATGCCATTTTATACAAGGCACTTGGGCATTTGGGGCTTTGGTATCTGCAGGAGGTCCTGGAACTAATCCCCTGAGGATATGGGAGGCCAATTGTATTTACTGTGCTTTCATCTGTAAAACTCGTACTGTGGGGCTATTCTCCGTTGTTCTTTCCCAGGTGGGAGTTTGCAAGCTGCTATATCTGAAAACACTAAATCTGGCAATCATTTTGAAGAGCCAAAACTCAAGGACATCCTTCTACAGATTTCCCTTGGACTTAAGTACATCCACAACTCTGGCATGGTACACCTGGACATCAAACCTAGTCAGTGTGTTCCCCTTCTGCCACTTCTACCATATTTTGTTCTTTCTATGCTATCATCAAAATCTAGGTCTGTATGTCTACCAAGTGTCAAAGACAGTGTTTGCTGGCAAGAACCCCTTTCTTCCATTTGTGTCCCTTTAAAAAATCAGTTAAATAGCTTTAACCGTTCTCTCCTAGGCCCAACGGATAGAGAAAAAAAAAAGACTCTTACCCATATATAGTAAGGCCAAAAAGGTAAAATTAGGTATTTAATTTACTACAAAGGCAAGTGACAGCATATCAGCTACATTCTGATTGTGTTTATGACTAGGGCCATACTCATTCTAACTCTGCACTGATTAAGGAGAAATGAGTATCGCTCATTAATGTGAAACCCAAGGACAAGTTCTTACTATTTTTTTATTTTGGGGACAATAGTACTTTGATGCCAGCCCCTTCAGAGAATGGAGAATGTATGAGGTCAGTTCAACTTAAATAGGTATGATCAATCACTAGCTCTTCAGAAGTGATGTGAGATTTCACAGAAAAAAAGAAACCTTAGTAGTCTTGCTATGTCCACACAAAAGAAGAAAGGAGAGAAGCTGAATTGTCAAATACAGAAAAGAATCTTTGAGATGAAAAAGCTTAGAAATCATTGCTTACATCTATCCTGTGATTTTTTTTTTTTCAGGTAATATCTTCATTTGTCACAAGATGCAAAGTGACTCCCCTGGAGTCATAGAAGAAGTTGAAAATGAAGCTGATTGGTTTCTCTCTGCTGATGTGATATATAAAATCGGTTAGTCTGCCTTAGACCCTTAGCAGTTACTATTATCTTATAAAATTTATACTGATGACTCAATTTATTCCAGTTTTAAGACATGCTTTTAAAGCTCTTTTTTTCTATTTTATTATTTCCTTTTTCCTATCTTTTTTTAGGTGACCTGGGCCATGCAACATCAATAAATGAACCCAAAGTGGAAGAAGGAGATAGTCGCTTCCTGGCTAATGAGATTTTACAAGAGGTATAGATTAGGGAAATAGAGGGTATTTTATAATCCGTTGAACCTTTGACTCTCAAATGGAGGATCTCAGTGCAAAAAATTAAAACTGTATATTTATCATTATAGTACCTCTCTTCCCATTCAGAATGGAGACCAAAGATAGGAGAGAAACTCTTCCAAAAAAGTGAGGAAAGCTGGCTCAATTAAGGATGAATCAATATTCAGACTTTTCTTTCTAAATGCCCTTTACTGTTTCCAGATATTTCTTAGACTTCCTAACCTCATGGATTGCCTGCTAAGAAGGAAGCCTTTTCCTCAAGCCCATATTGGTCCAGTCCATCTTTATCATGCCATTATCGTTCTGATAGCACCACCAGTTTCGGTTATTGAAATGACGTTTAGTCATTGCCCATCTTCTCCAATGTCTGTTGAGTCAGGCCTAGGGAGGATATAACTTCTTCCTGGGTGATAATCAGGTGAAAATGAGTATTTCCTTCCTGTGATCAGCCAAGTTATGCAGCAAGCCTTTCTGAGCCTGACAGCAAAATGGCAGTAAGTTTCTGCCTTGGACTCCGCAGGGCACAGCAGTGATAATCAGGTAGATTTATGTTCTCTCTTCTCTAGAACTCACTGACTACAGTGAATGTACCTTTGACCATCATATCTGTTGAGACCTTATATGCACTCGAATGAACCTTTCCTACCAGTTGTATTTTAATCTAGACTCACTCTGCTTGGCATAGTAACTGGCGTTCCTGTCTTCTGTTTTGAAGGATTACCGGCACCTTCCCAAAGCAGACATATTTGCCTTGGGATTAACAATCGCAGTGGCTGCAGGAGCAGAGTCATTACCCACCAATGGTACTGCATGGCACCATATCCGCAAGGGTAACTTTCCAGATGTTCCTCAGGAGCTCTCAGAAAGCTTTTCCAGTCTGCTCAAGGTGATCTCTCTTACGAGATGAACAGAAGATGCAATATCTATTTTATTTTTTTAATGCGATGGCAAGTAGTTGGGCAAAGAAAAATGGAGATGCTGGTAGTGTCACTAACAGAAAAAGGAATGTGACTAGAAGTCCAGAAAAAATAAGGGGCGGGGCCGGGTGCAGTGGCTCATGCCGGTAATCTCAGCACTTTGGGAGGCCGAGGCAGGTGGATCACGAGGTCAGAAGGTGAGACCATCCTGGCTAACACAGTGAAACCCCATCTCTACTAAAAACACAAAAAATTAGCTGGGCGTGGTGGCCGGTGCCTGTAGTCCCAGCTACTCGGGTGGCTGAGGCAGCAGAATGACTTAAACCTGGAGCTTGCAGTGAGACAAGATCGTGCCACTGCATTCCAGCCTGGGCGACAGAGCAAGGCTGTCTCAGGAAAAAAAAAAAAAATCGGGGGGTGGTGAGACAGATGGAGAATTTCTTAAGGAAACTGAGAGGATATTGTAAAATCTTTCATGCTTAGTTTAAAAATCCTGTTACAAACATGTTTTTCATTTGCCCTTTCTAACAATGCTGTAAGGTAGGCAGGTGGCATCTTATCCTGCAGTTGAGGAAACCATGGCTCAGAGCAGCTCCTTGACACCTGTAGTGACAGTGAATTATGCGCTAATAATCCACAATCAAATCTGGTCCTTTAGCTCCTACTTCAGGGTTTTAACTTTTGTTAGCGATAACAGTGATAGTACTAAAAGAATGAATTTATATTATATGTAAGAAGGTATAAGACTACTTTATTGCTACTTGATAATACCAATTATTTGAGCTATTAGAAAAAAGGCATGATGTCAATTCAAAAATCTGTTTTACTTGTACTTAATGACATCTGAGTAGTGTGGGGACAAGAAAAGGAAGATACTACGTTGAAATAGACACAAAAAGCTTATATTATCAAGCTTAATCATGTCAAGAAAAATGTATATATGACTTTAAATCATGTCTTAAGGAACAGGATTGGTTAGGATTCCCAAAACAGCGTTAGAAATATCTATTTCCTTGGAGATTAGATTTTTTTGGGGTGGGAGAGGACAGGGTCTCACTCTGTTACCTAGACTGGAGTGCAGTGGCACAATCATAGCTTACTGCAGCCTTGAACTCCTGGACTCGAGCAATCCTCCTGCCTCAGCTTCCTGAGTAGCCGGACTACAGGTGTGGGAGATTCACAGTTTACCTGCAAACTTCAAATGTATTTACAAATCTGTCCTTCTTCCTGACTTCTTTTGCTTTCCTGAAAGGAGGCAAACTCTTCCTCCTTCCTTTTGTTCAGTCTAATCACCTAATACCATGTGTAAACCACTTTTGCATTTAGTTGATATTTCAGTATGTAAATGCTGACCCTGTACTGGACAATACATATATTAATTTGTTAAACTCTAAAAATAGTCCAAGAAGGTAAATATAATTATCCCAAATTTCAGGTAAGGGAAATGGAGCTTCAGCAAAATTTATAAAACAAATGGAGTTGGCTCAGAATTTTGTTCAGTGTTTTCTTCATTATATGACAGTGTCAGTTGCTGTATATAATTAGTTATTTTCTACTATATTCAAATCATGATAGGTTAGACATCTTCTACCTTAAAATAAATGCTTTAGGAATACTGTCATGTTGGGTTATTAATATTAAGTGAAAAAGCAACATGATGTGGTAGAAAGTAAACTGGAGTAACAGTTGGGCAAACTAGGTTTTGGTCTTGGCCATTCCATAATTTGGATAATTTTTATCAAGGGTCTTAGTTTTTTCTGCTTTAAAACTAAGGCAATAGACTAGTTAGCCAGCCAGTTCCAAAATCTGATTAAAGACAAATCAGGCCGGGCGCGGTGGCTCAAGCCTGTAATCCCAGCACTTTGGGCGGCCGAGGCGGGCGGATCATGAGGTCAGGAGATCAGGATCATCCTGGCTAACACAGTGAAACCCCGACTCTATTAAAAAATACAAAAAGCTAGCCGGGCGAGGTGGCGGGCGCCTGTAGTCCCAGCTACTCGGGAGGCTGAGGCAGGAGAATGGCATAAACCCATGAGGTGGAGCTTACAATGAGCTGAGATCCGGCCGCTGCACTCCAGCCTGGGCAACAGAGCGAGACTGTCTCAAAAAAAAAAAAAAAGAAAAAAAGACAAATCAAAGATGTGGACAACTGGTGCTACCAGACATGGACGATCCTCCTGCCCAAGGTGGAGCTCAGTTTTCATTTCTTCCCTCTGCACAAAGCAGAAGCAAGGTCTTACAAAATCCACCAGGAGACGCTGGGTTGGAGGTGGCTTCAGCGAGAAGATTTTTCCCAATAGTGAAGCTTCTATTTATTTCCTCTTGGTCCTATATCATCAGAACATGATCCACCCTGATGCTGAACAGAGACCTTCTGCAGCAGCTCTGGCCAGAAATAGAGTTCTCCGGCCTTCCCTGGGAAAAACAGAGGAGCTCCAACAGCAGCTGAATTTAGAAAAGTTCAAAACTGCCACACTGGAAAGGTATATTTTTGGATGATGGGGGTCAAAAAAGAATCTGAGCACTACTCACAATGGTATGACTAGTCTACGGTGTCTTCTCTGTGGATTCAAGTATAAATATATTCACCATTATAATACATAGGTCCCTGCCCATAAGGAAACTGGCAGCATGTGGCTCTTTGTAGCATCGGGCTGGGAGGCTCCGTGATTAGGTTGCTTGAGAGAGAAATTTCCAGTTAATGAAAACAAGGGAAGCAAGAGTGAGGAATGTAAGGAAATACCAGTAAAGAAAACTTAGGATTCTAAGTGACAGCAGGTATCTTAGTAACTGGTTGGTGATCGCCTAATATAAGATAACCGCAGGTAAGATGGGTAAGACCTATTTTAGAAACCCCTTAAATTTCAGGGGCAGGCAGGTAGACATACTGTCCTAGTACACATTTAGAGGAAGGATTATTTTTCTGAGCAAAGAAAACAATCTGTTCTCCTGCTCATGTAGGCTTGTATTCATGCATATATTTACTTGTTAATCCATTCCTTCAATAAATGGGAATTCGAATACTTACCTGGTAGGGAAGATACCATGACCACGAAGGCGGTTTTTCCCAGGGTGAGACTCATCGACTGACTCCGGATGTGCTGACCCCTGCGATGTCCCCAAAGGTGGAAAACTTGACTGCATAAGTGGTGGTAGTGGGGGACTGTGTTCATGCTTTCCCCTGAAAAATGAAAAAAAAAAAAAAGAAGAATTCAATGGGGTGGGGTTGGAGATGAGCAGTGTTCTGAAGGCATTTTTGAGTAATTATTACATGTTCTGTACACTGCTGGAAATACAAAAGAAAATGAAAAATTGTCCCTAAAATAAGCTTAGAAGTCCAACTTCTCTTGGATATACAATCATCCATCTTGGAAAGATTGGCTTTGAAGCATCCCTAACCATAATAACCTACAAGTTATTATTAGTATTAATAATAACTTGTAGAGCCTCTTGGCCTTTAGTCAGGTAAATCTTCCTAATAAGCCACTTAGTATGTTTCTGTTCTCGTTTTGAATTCCATTGTCCCAGCTAATAAAGTATAAAGTACTATACTTACATATGTTATTCACAAGAATATAAGTACCACTTAAGGTGTGGTGTATACATTCTAGAAAGTCAGCTATGGAGACACAGGTGACTATCATCAGCCAGTACAAGTGATGGGCACCCATCATAGAGATGGGGCAGACAGCATCTTGAAATTCTCTAGACCAGGGGTCCCCAGCCCCTGGGCCATGAACCAGTACCAGTCTGGCCTGTTAGGAACTGGGCTGCACAGCAGGAGGTGAGCAGTGGGTGAGTGAGCACTACCGCCTGAGCTCTGCCTCCCATCAGATCAGTGGCAGCATTAAATTCTTATAGCACAAACCCAATTGTGAACTGTGCATGTGAGGGATCTACGTTCTGCACTCCTTCCAAGAATCTAATACCTGATGATCTGAGGTGAACCATTTCATCCTGAAACCGTCTCCTCCCCTGACTCCCCATCCATGGAAAAACTGTCTTCCTTGAAATCAGTCCCTGATTCCAAAAACGTTGGGGACTGCTGGTCTAGACCAAGTGTTGGAAAACTTGTTCCGTGAAGGGCTAGATAGTAAATATTTTATGCTTTGTGGGCCATATGCTTTTTGCTGTGATGATTTCAACTCTGCTGTTACAGTGTAAAAACAGCCATTGACAACATATAAATGAGTGGCTATGTTCCAATAAGACTTTATAAGTACAGGTTATGGGCCAGATTTGACTCAGAAGTTGTGTTTTGTTGACCCTGGTGCCTTTCATATGTAGCCTGAAGAGCTGTTCAGTTAATTTAAAACATTTTAAAGATCATTTATACTCCAATCAGCAGAGTCTGGGGAGCTAAACCTACCATGTTGTATGACATGCATGTGTCAACCATTTTTTATGACAACCATAGTAACTGAATTTTCTATTCTGTACATAGCTCAGGCTTTTTTTCTGTAAATACTGAAAAAGAAAAACATTTATATATTAGTTTTGATCATATATATCTCTGATTGGAGATCAAGTAGTCTTTGCTTTTTCCCCCTTGCACTTCAGGGAACTGAGAGAAGCCCAGCAGGCCCAGTCACCCCAGGGAGATAGCCATCATGATGACACTGGGGTCTCTGGGACCCACACAGGATCAAGAAGTACAAAACGCCTGGTGGGAGGAAAGAGTGCAAGGTCTTCAAGCTTTACCTGTGAGTAATCTTCCCCTTAAGAACTCATTTTGCACCAGCCAACCTTTTACTGTAGAACCTCTGGAAATAGATACCAGCTGTCCCAACCTTCCTCTTATAAAATGAAAAAATTAGCCAACTTGAACGCCCAAGGATTCCAAAAGCCACTACTAATTTACCATTTTATAGCCAAGATCCTAAAGCTAGTAAGGCTTTGTATTAGCAATGGTCCCAGATACAGTAATTGGAAGCCATTTCTCCTCTATTGTTATATTCCTAATGCCACTGATCAATAACTTATTTACTTCTCACACTTTTGATGAACAGCAGGAGAGCGTGAGCCTCTGCACTGAAGGAAGAAAAGGAAACAGCCCTTGGTTTGGCCTATGGATTAAGAGGTTGCTGTTGCTGATTCCCCACGAAGGATCCCAGGGACTCATTGTACATAGAAAGGAATAGAATTTAGTTTAGAGTTGAAGTCACAGCTTACAGGAAATGTGCCTGGATTTTCCACAGTGCTTCCCAGGTTATATGATGCTGTTCCTGAGAGAAAATTCCCAGTTTCTTGAGGAAGTGGGTCTCCTAATGTATACCCTTTCTGATATTGTATTTATTAAATAAATGGCTTCACCATTATGTGAGGTGGGTAAAAGTTAGACTGTATGCAACTTGGACATCTCTGAGCTGGCTGTCAACTTGCAGGACAAAAATGCTGTGGGGAGGGGCTTCAGGGAAAACTTAATGTGCCTGTGGTTGTTCTCCATCTATTTGCCCTGCCTCTCTTCTGGCTGTTCTGGTTGGTTTGATATTCCGGGTCTCACCAATTTCTCATGATTTTTATGAGAATTTGGCTTTGTTTCCTGTTTTTTAAGATCATATTTTATCTAAATCCTTTTTCTATACACATTTTAAAAGGAATAGAATACTGTATTTTAAATAAAGGGTTTTATTTTGTCCAAAGCCTAATTACAGGTAAAATATCCTTTGTAAAATGTAACTAACAAAGAACAAGAAATTTATGTTGGAGAACATTTTATGAATAAAAGGGTAAGAGAATTCAGTGGGTCAGTAGTAACAGGTCTTGGTGGCAAGTGTTAGCTTCACAGATCCAACAGTTAATAATGGTCAGGCTTTGCTAGAAAATTATGTTGGTCATAAAGGTATTTGATAAGTTCTGTTTGTGTCATCTTAGTGAATGCAACCTGTTGATGATAATGGCTTTTTTGCTGCTTGATTTTCTTCTTTCCCCCTCATTTTTAAAAGCTAATTAAGTTTTTTTAATTGAATAAACCCTAATACTATTCTTTGTTCTGCTTTGGAGTAGCAATTCTTTCCATGCAATTAAGTGTGGTGGTGGTCTTCCTATAGCCCATTGCCATTTTTCTTTACTAGGCTCTATTCAAAATTATAAAATGGGATTAGTCTATCTCTTGCCACCTCCCGCTGAACAACACACACACACCAGGCCATGTCCCTTGTAGTATAGTACAAGGTCAACCACAATTTGTGATTTAGAAACAGGTAAATTATTAAGTACATCCAATGTACAGATGAGAAGTGTTTGGTTATACTAGTCTTCTCAGGCATTGATAACTGACTATTTGGGTCTACAGCCTCTTCTCTACTGTGTTCCTCAGCCTAGCTTCACAACTGAATGGACCTGGTGCCAGATTATTGGCCGCTCTGGCTCTCTGGCTCTCTCGCTCTCTCGCTCTGGCTCTGGCTTGCCCGCTCTCGTTCTTTCTGGCTCGCCCGCTTGTGCGCGCTCTCGCTCTCTGGCTTGCCCGCTCGCTCTCTCTCTCACTTTCTGGCTCACCCGCTCGCCCGCTCTCTGGCTCTCTGGCTTTCTGGCTTGCTCTCTCGCTCTCTCTCTCTCTACAGTAGCAGGATGTCACCAAAATAGTATGTATCTATCTGCATAGATACTACTGAGTGTGAGGGACTGGGTCTTCACTGGCCTTGGCATTTCATCCCTTCCATTTCAGTTAGATGCTTATTCCTTACCTCAGTAAGTTTTGTTTTTGCACAGAGATCATTATGTAACTTGGAAACTAATTATCACAATTATTTCATTACCATCATTGGGCTGGTAACATTAAAGAAGTTAAATTAAAATACTTTAGAAAATATGTTACTTCTCTAAGGATGTATTCTAAATGTCAACACTGACATTAAGGTACCAACAGATAATCTTGAGATCTAGAGGAATACTGTTGTGCTCCACTGGTCTAAGCTCTGACACACATACCACTTTAGAGAGGCCATTTACTGAAAGTTGCAGAAAGATGAATATTGAAAGATATGAACCTTTCAGCCTGAACAACTAAGGCTTTTTATCTCTAAATGAACCATATTTTCAATCTTGAATTGCAGAAAAATTGTCAGGTTGTTTTTAAATTAAGCCATAATAACTACTAAGTATTGCTAAAATTGCTTTCAAACCATTCTAAAATATATGCAAGTAATCAGTGTAGGTAATAAGTGCTGCAATTTTTCAACAGTTATTATGAGGCTTTAGAGAAGCTGATTTAAAATCAAAGTAAAAACCTGATTAAAATTTATTTAAAAATGGATAATTTACAGCAAAACTGTCCAAGGCTTCCTATTTATGATAAAGCATTGCCAGTCTTCGTCTCTACCAATGGATGCCTATAGCTGGAACCTTTTTAATTCAGGGAGAAATAAGTCAGGCCAAAGGTGATTTTGCACCCCTGGGCATTTATGATACACACTTCTTTCTCATTCATCTTTGCAAGTGATAAAAGCCCTGTGTCAGTCTACTACTGCCAGGCGTTAAAACTGATTAAAGCCATAATGCTACCTGTCACCACTTCACAGCATTGGGAAGGCCGTCCCTGGGCCCATGGATGAACTACAGAAAGTATGTGTATGTGTATCCTATGGAGAGGTTTCAGGGCTTCCTCATCAAAATGCAAAATTTAGGTTTCTGAAGGGGTATCTCTGATACGAAAATATATTGGAGTCACTATTCTAAGTCCTCGATTAAAAAAAAAATTATGGCTCTGTAAGCATCCTTCTGGACTCTTCCCAGAAATAAGAATGCTTATTTGAGCATCCCTTCTGGATTCTTATTTCCATACCCTGGCCTGTGACCTGGGCCCTACTAGCCTGTCCTTGTTTTAAAGTATACTGTGAACTGGATATTCACAAGTTCCCTGAACTCTAAGAGCTCACAGTTAACAGGAGGGATGAGGTACCTTCGTGATCATTTGTTATAAGATGGACAGAGTGTGCAAAGAAAATGAAATGGAAGAACAGAAAGGAAGGAACATTTGAGTAGAGAATTCTGAATGTGTGAGGGGAGTGCATTTCAGATCCTGAGGATGGAGCAATGCAACATAGAAGCATGTGTTAGGAAGGAGGGATCCATTTGATAATAGAAGAAAATGCTTTAATTTCTCCATGACATTTTACATCTAAAAAACTGTACATTTTATCACACTTTTCTTTGTCACAGAAAAAACAAAGTAGCAGCACTGTGACTCTCTCCAGCCAGCAATCTCAGGAGAATGTGTATTGGCAATTCCTGTCTGAGAATTCAGGGTACTCCAGACTCTCCACTAAGATATTTAGAAAGTTGTAAGAGTTTGCTTAAGGTTGTCTCTTTTCAATTTGCACGGTGCTTTCTGCATTTTTCTTTATATAACTTCTCCCACACTCCTTACTCCAAAGTATGCAAATTGAAAGGGAGATATTAGTGGCATCATGAAGAAAAAAGTTTTAGGGCCAAGTGATTGGATATGGGTGAATGGATGTGGGTGGTCAGAGAGAGATGAAGATGATTATAAAGTTCAAGTCTGGGAGAATCTTGCTACCATTAAAACAAACAAGGGAGAAACTGACATTGGGCAAAAGAGTGAATTTAGTTTTTCATTTGACTCAAGTGGAAGCAGGATTTTTAAAGAGAAAAATCACTGGAAGTCATTGACAGTAGTAACATAGTGGGTGGAGTGTGGGATTACTGATTCCTGTGCAAGGCTTGAAGGAAGTATAGCGTGGTATGTTTTAGGAGCTCAACATTGTGAGGGTGCTAGTAAAATAGAGGTAAGCATCTGGAAATACGATATACCAACTGGTAAGCAAGACCTTCAGGAGTGAGTTAAGGTGTGCGTTGGAAGCTATGTTAAGATTTTATCCCTAAATGGCAAAAAATGGGAAGATGAAAGGTTTTAGGTAGAGGCCTGAGGAGGTGATTTGCCTGTTAGAACAATACGGTGGGTACCTTCTTTCTCCACAACCTGGACAGTGCCAGGACCAGGAGATGGAGTGGAAGGGGTGGCCCCCACTGGTGTGGGTTCTGTATGGGGCTCCATACATTCTTTTTCCCGCTAGGCCCAGGATTAGCATGAATGAGACAGAATTTAAGGGGCACCAAGAAACTCAGCAATCAAGATTTGTGACACTTTAATGAAATATTCTTAAAATATTAAAACTAATGAAAAAAAATTCATGATGAATAAAACACCAAAATTTTAAATAAAGAAGATCAGTAAGCTGAAGTTAATTAAAATTATTTAAGATTGTTACTTGGTCAAGAAAAATTGTGAAGGTATGGAAATTCTCTCAAAACAAGATAAGCAAAGAAGTAGATTTGAAAACATTACTGATCAGTTTACTTCCATTAAAAGTAAAGTTATATTATATTCCATCTTGGCATAAATAAAATATTTAAAGTTAAAACAGTGTTGTGAATTTTAATACACCTGTAGTGTAATGGGTCCCCCCCGACCCCAGGTTACTAAAGAGTGTATGTCCACTGCCTGAATCCTGAAGGCCAGGCCATGTGCCAAGGCCATGGTGACCAGCCAAAGAGCAGGTGTTTCTGAGAAGCTAAAGATCCCAGAGAATATCTGAGAACCTACCAAAGAAAACAGTTCTATCACACACAATAGGCTAAAAGCCAGAAAATTAGCTTACAAGTAGCTTAGGGATGGGAGGCCAGGCGGATCTCCACAGTTGTCCTGCTGCTGTCCAGGAGTGCCTTGTGTGTAAGTTCTCATAAACTCCTCCACTTGCCAAGCTGTACTTGTCCAGGTCAATCTTTGGTTTCTCGGCTTCCTCTCAGTTTGGGGGAAGGTTTTTATTAATGCAATTTGGGGTTTTTCTTGTTACAATACCTACTTTAAAAATTTTCAATGCTGCTTCAACTACTTTAATGTTCTGGAAATGTATGTGTGTATATATCGATATACACACATAAATTAGCTGCCTGGCTAATTTTTGCATTTTTTGTAGAGACAGGGTTTTGCCACGTTGCCCAAACTGGTCTTGAACTCCTGGGCTCAAGTGATCCTTCTGCCTCAACCTTCCGAAGTGCTGGGACTACAAACATGAGCTACTGGACTGTCAAAAATTTTTTTAAATAAAAATTAATTAAAAAATTTATATTGATATATATATCCACATATATACATATATATATTTTGCGTGATATATATACCGTCTCAAAAAATGTGTGTATATATAGATATATATATAAAAACATGCACATATTTCATTTATATATATAGATATATATACACACACATATATATTTTTTGAGACAGGGTCTCACTCTGTTGCACAGGCTGGAGTGTAGTGGTGTGATCATGGCTCACTGAAACCTCACCTTCCCAGGCTCAAGTGATCCTCCCACTTCAGCCTCCACAGTAGCTGGGGCTATAAGCACATACCACTATGCCTGGCTAATTTTTTTTTTTTTTTTTTTTGGAGATGGAGTCTCACATCATTGCCCAGGCTGGAGAAAGGGGCGCGATCTCAGCTCACTGCAAGCTCCGCCACCCGGGTTCTCGCCATTCTCCTGCCTAACCTCCCGAGTAGCTGGGACTACAGGCACCCACCACCACGCCTGGCTAATTTTTTGTATCTTTAGTAGAGATGGGGTTTCACTGTGTTAGCCAGGATAGTCTTGATCTCCTGACCTCGTGATCTGCCCGCCTTGGCCTCCCAAAGTTCTGGGATTACAGGCGTGAGCCACCGTGCCTGGCTGCCTGGCAAATTTTTGTATTTTTTGTAGAGACAGGGTTTTGCCATGTTGCCCAAGCTGGTCTTGAACTCCTGGGCTCAAGTGATCCACCTGCCTCAACCTTCCAAAGTGCTGGGATTACAAACATGAGCTGCTAGACCTGGCCAAAATTTTTTTAATTAAAATTTTTTTGTTTTTGTCTTTTTTATTTTTAATTTTTGTGGGTTCAAAGGAAGTGTATATATTTAGGGGTACATGAGATATTTTGATACAGGCATGCAACGTGAAATAAGCACATCATGGGGATGGGGTATCCTCTTAATCATTTATCCTTTGAGTTACACACAATCCAGTAACACTCTTATTTTAAAATGTACAATTAAGTAATTACTGAGTATAGTCAACCTATCGTGTCATCGAACATAGCAGGTCTTATTCTATTTTTTGTATCTATTAACAATCCCCACCTTCCCTCCAGCCCCCCACTAACCTTCCTAGCCCCAGTTTTTAAAAATACATAAACACACATATATATGGGGCGCACATTCTTCCTTGTGCTTCAGGCTCCAATCTGGCTTAGATCCTGTATCCAGTTAAAATTTTTATACAGTCATGCACTTCATAATGATGTTTGGGAAAAAGACAGACTGCATATACAACAGTGCATCCACAAAGGTGGTCCCATAACATTACAATGGAGTTGAAAAATTTCTATTGTCTAGTGACATCGTACCTAAATAAAACATCAGAATGCAATGTATTACTCATGTGTGACTTGATATTAATAATGACTATGTCACCGGTTTATGTGTTTACTATACTTTTTATTATATTATTAACTTATTTTTAAAAAGTTAACTGTAAAACAGCCTCAAGCAGGTCCTTCAGGAGGGATTCCAGAAGAAGGCCTTGTTATAGGAGATGACTGTGTGTCACTGCTTCTGAAGACCTTCCAGTGGGACAAGAGGTGGAGGTGGAAGGCTGAGACTGATCATAATGACCCTGTGTAGGCCTAGGCTAATGTGTGTGTTTATGTCTTCGTTTTTTTTAAAAAAGGCAAAAAAGTTTAAAAAAAAAAAAAAAGCAAAGGTAGACAAAAGCTTACAGAATAAGGATATAAGAAAAATATTTTTGTATAGTGGTACAGTGTGTGTTTTAAGCTAATTGTTATTACAAAAGATTTAAAACGTAAAAAAATTGAAAGATTTATAAAGTTATAGTAAGTGAAAGTTTATTGAAGGAAGAAAAATATTTTTTATAAACAGAGTGTAGCCTAAGTGTATAGTGTTTATGAAGTGTTTAGTGGGGTACAATAATGTCCTAGACCTTTACGTTGGGTTACCACTCACTCACCCACTCACCCACAGCAACTTCTAATTCTCCAAGCTCCATTCATGGTAGGCGCCCTATACAGGCGTACCATTTTTATCTTTTATACTGTATTTGTACTGTACCTTTTCCATGTTTACATATGTTTAGACACACACATACTTACCATGAATTACAATGGTCTGCGGTATTCAGCACAGTCCCATGCTGTCAGGTTTGCAGCCTGGAAGCAACAGGCCACACCGGTGACACAGCTGAGGTGTGTCCCAGGCTCTACCATCCAGGTAGTGAAAGTACATTCTATGGTGTCCGCACAGCAATGAAATCGCCTAATGACGCATTCCTCAGAACATTCCCTGTTGTTAAGCTACACACGACTCTTATTTTGTTCCTCCCGGATTTCTTGCATTAATTTTTACCTTTTAAAATATTACATTAAGATATTATTTGATTGCCAGTTTTTCTGGTGCTCCCTTAAATTTGACGGCCTGTCAGCCCTTCCCCGGCTCCCCTTTCTTTTTCTGCTTTTCTTAGTGCTTTAACAGGCCTGGAACGTTTTCTTTTTCTTTTTTTTCTTTAATTTTCTTCTTCTTCTTTTTTTTTTTTTTGAGACAAAGTCTCGCTCTGTTGCCCAGGCTGCAGTGCGGCGGTGCGTTCACGGCTCAATGCTGCCATGACCTCCAGGGCTCTGGTGATCCCCCGACCTCAGCCTCCCGAGTAGCTTGGACCCCAGGCGCGCGCCACCACGCCCAGCTAATTTTATACTTTTTGTAGAGACAGGGTCTCACTATGTCGCCCAGGCTGGTCACAAATCGTTTTCCTTTCTCCCCTCACAGGCAGAGCTACTCTCTGTTTTGCCTACCTCGCCCCCTCCCGGGCACAGTTAGAAACCTCATCACATAATTTCATTTAATTTGAACCTTGAAACCTTCCAAACTCACCACTTGGCGGCGTTGATCATCCTCCCGCGACCAAAGAGAAACTCGCGGAACTTCAGAGTTAAGGGGCGGCGTTTCCCACGGCGCTCGCCGGCAGTATTTCCAAGGCGCACGTTGTGGAGTTTCTGCTTCCTTTTTCCTCTCGCGAGCTTTGCGTTCCCTGTGCCCCGGAAGTGATCCCCTGGTTGGCTCGGCTGCTGGGGTTAGAGCGTCGGGTGAGGGAGGGATAGCAGGCGCTAAGCAAGTGGTGGAGTCCTGTGTTTTGGCTGCGCGTGATCCTGCGTGGGTCGAAAGGTGTTTCTGTAGGTGTCTGGCCCTTTCCTCAGTCGTGCGGAGGACTGCGTGATTTCCTCCCAGTTCTCCTCGGTTTTCAGGTGGTGGCGCCACCTCCGGTAAAGGGGGCCCACCTCTCCCCACGGTGTGGCTGGCTAGCCCGGGGATCTCTACGCTGCTTGGTCTTTGCTAACGGAGATGAAGGCAGTAATTGTTCAGCAACAGGTTTCAGATATAAGTCCCTTGGTGACGCTAATAGTTTTTGAGCCTTTACTATGCCTAAACTTTTTTAGAAGTTTAGAAAATGGCAGTGAATAAAGCAGATAAAAATCTGTGCCCTAGGGGAGCTTGCATTGTAATCAGATTTGAGAAGAAGTGGATTGGAAGTGGGATTAACTCACAATCAAAATTTTGTCTGGGTTGGAGGAAGAGGAAGTTATTTGGGACCAAAAAGACATACAGGTGTGAGTTTATTTGGGAGGGAGGAAGGAATCCTCATCAGGTGTGCAGGAATGTTGGTACGTTGTGGTCACAAAATTGGAGTGCATAAGAATTATGAATGCAGTTAGGAATTTAGGACTGGTGAGTTGTGCTTTTGCCATAAGAAGTAATGTTTATCTTTTTGTTTTTTTCCTTTAGGAAGAGCCTAAAGATTAGACTGTAAGGAAAGAAAATAGAAGCCATGTTTCGAAGACCTGTGTTACAGGTAGTCACTTGTCTGTATTAATATTGAGATGTATTACTATCAGCGGTGATCAGAAGACTTCTTCAGGCTTTTAACTACAGGGCAAAAGACCTTTGAGCTCACCCATCCACCTCTGTACTCAACTGATATGGAGGATTGGTAGTGTAAATTTTGCCAGTGTAAATTATGTTCACTAAAACAAAAAAAAGTTCAGGTTTATTCACATATGTAATAGGAATCATTAATTTTTAAAACGTGTGTGTGTGGCTTGAATTTAAGCAGTGAGAGAACATTATAGGTCTTTAGTGACCTAAAGACTGTAGGAATCATTGTTCCAACTTTTTTCTTAAGGCGTGTAGTTGCTTTTTTGACCGTCTACCTCCTGTGTTGCTAAACGTTCCTCTTCCCCCATCTTTCCACCCTGAGCAGCTCAAGTCTGAATGGTCACCACAGATTTCACTATGTAGAAAATGCCTTCTCATTCCACTTAATATGGCTCCTCACTTTTCCAGTCACTCTAGCCCACCTTGAGCCAGCTTAGACTACCGTTTTTCCTCACTTACCACATTTGGGCACCAACTCCTGTAGATTCTTCTTTGGCTGTCCTACTCCCCATCCTCCTGTGAAGATCAATGAAGAATCAGTTCCTCCATGACTCTGTCATTTTTCCCACCTTAATCCTATATTCTTGGATCCCCCCTTTAACCTGTATGTATCTTTAATCTATTTTTTCTGTATTGAAATGTGAAACATAAAAAAGTTATTACTTAACACTAATGTTACAGTATTAAAATGTCTTTAAATAAGAGTTAAAAGTTTAATTTTAAAAAGTATCCAAGTTAAATAATCCTTTCCTAATCTTTTCCAGTAGGCTTTGATTTTTGTGTGCCCCAAATGAGACATTGTTATCATGTAAGATTTATGAGCTCTTGCTTGTCTGAGCACTGAAATGAGTACATTTCCAGAATCATGACACAGGTTCTCATTAGCAGTTTGATTCTATAGTATGTTGTACTCATATCTTTATTCTCTTACCCACACTGTGCCCCTAAGTTTAGTGATAGGATTAGATAGCCAACAGCACCCTGGGAATTGGTGTTTATTTGATTGGTGGGCTTCTGCTTTTTATATTAACAGTACTGCCACTTCGAAAATGTTTCTCTGATAGAATGGCTAGCTCTCTCAACTCTGTATTCAGTGATGTGTACTCCCATCTTTACAGTAGCTCTTGAAATTCAGGAGGCAGCAAGGGGCTTTGGGAAAGTAGTAGCATTGGTGTCAAAGGGCCTGGGCCTTGAGATCACTCGCCACATACTTCCTGCGGGATCTTGGGCAGGTTATGCAGTCTCTCCGGGGTTGTTTTCTCAGCTCTAAGTGGGGATAATTTTACATAACTTGTAGATTTAGTTTTATAATTGATAATAGATAAATCTCTTAGCTGATAGTAACCATTGCTGCTATTATGTGGTAGTGACTACCTTTTCCGACAATGATGTGATTTTGACTTGGACAGTCGAATCTTTGTGTTTAATCAAAGAACCAGATTTATTAGACCTTTTCTGATGCACTGAAAGCATGAAATTTCCCATGAAATATTTATAGAAATTGTATTAGGCTAAGCTCACTACTGAAGCTGTTTAATTTTTGCGATAACCTTGTGAAGTAGATATTACCTATCATAATTTTTGCTGATTTTAAAATGAAACACTTTAGGTTAATCATATTTGAGGCATCCTAATTCCTTTTAAGGTCTGAAGGAGCAACCAGGGGAAGGCAGTTACATAGACACAGGGAATCTGACTTTGGAATATGTTCCTGTTGCTGTGTCAGAAAGTCACTCATGTGGTTAGTTCAAGAATGTATTGTTTTATTAGGATTTAACCTATTTCTCATTCTCTAAACCAGCAGACCCCAACCTTTTTGGCACCAGTAACTGGTTTCACGGAAGACAATTTTTCCATGGAGGAGGCGGGTGCCGCGGGGATGGTTTGAGGATGAAACTTTTCTACCTCAGATCATCAGGCATTAGTTAGATTCTCATAAGGAGTGCACAGCCTAGATCCCTCGCATGAGCAGTTTATAATGGGGTTCGCACTCCTATGAGAATCTAATGCCCCTGCTGATCTGACAGGAGGCGGATCTCAGTAATGCTTGCTCACTGCTTGCCGCTCACCTCCTGCTGTGCAGCCGGGTTCCTAACAGGCTACAGACCTCTACTAGTCCTTGACCCTGGAGGTTGGGGATCCTCCTCTAAACTAGCTCGTTGTTATGCCTGAGAGTGAGGCTTTGCATTTATTCCACACCTCCTGACACTTGTTTGATCATTGCGTATGTTATTAATGAATCTACTTATTAAATTATTAATTATAAAACATCTCTTTTTACTCTCCTTTGGCCTAATGATGGATTAAATCAGTACCCATGTTGGATCTAAATTTCTTAATTTCTAAAGTCTACTGTAACCAAAATATAATAATAATATAGCAGTTGTTTATACTAAAAAAAAAAAATTAGAGGATGTATATATTGGATATATATCGTACTTTTTGTCTCTCCAGCTAATGAAAGCTGGATTTTGAAAATACTTGGCAGCAACTCTTAGGTACAGGTTGGATTTACAAATATTATCATACTCTGTAATGTTAAAGTCATATTATTTTGACTTTTCCTTTTGTGTGCAAACACAGAAGTGCCATAATCAGGGGGACTGTGGCAAAATAAATGGGAGTACTATAAAGTAACTCTTGAGCATGCCTTCTAGTACCTTCCCTGTACCTTTGGGCTTCTGCAGTGGGCTGCACGTGAAGTGTTTGCCGGGTCCTTCTGGCACTCTTTTGGGAGAACATGAGAAGAGCTTCTCTTCTCTTCTGGAATTTACAGGAATTACTGACTACATGGTGAATGAATGTGAGTAGTTCTTCCGTTGCTTTTGCCTTTCCTAAAAAATTAAAGCCATGTTACTCATTTGTTCTTCTTTAGGTACTTCGTCAGTTTGTAAGACATGAGTCCGAAACAGCTACCAGTTTGGTTCTTGAAAGATGTAAGTAGCTAATTTCCAAGTTTAAAATGTTATTTTTAGTAATTTGCCAATCTCAAATGTGCTGTAGAAGAGGTATGCTGGTTGGGTTCACCATGTTATCATTGTGCTTTTAGTTTATGTTTGCTCTTCAGATCTTAGCCTTGACCCATCAGGCTGTGGAGACATAGTATAAACTGAGCCCCTATTCTCCTTATCAGCCAGTTACTACTCATTCTCGTCGACCCTGTCCTGCATCAGAATTTCTGGCCGGGCACACGGCTTACGCCTGTAATCCCAGCACTTTGGGAGGCCGAGGCGGGCAGATCACGAGGTCAGGAGATCAAGACCATCCTGACTAACATAGTGAAACCCCGTCTCTACTAAAAATACAAAAAATAGCCGGGCGTAGTGGGGGGCGCCTGTAGTCCCAGCTACTCAGGAGGCTGAGGCAGGAGAATGGCATGAACCGGGGGGGCGGAGCTTGCAGTGAGCTGAAATCACGCCACTGCACTCCAGCCTGGGCGACAGAGTGAGACTCTGTCTCAAAAAAAAAAAAAAAGAATTTCCTTGAGTCATATTTGGTTATCTGAGTCTTCCCAGATTATATTAGGCTGAGATTATAAAAGATACTGTTTCTTCACAGAAATATTCCCTTGTATTTATAAAGATTTTCAGATCTCAGATTTGTTCTTTTAGCTCCACAGTCAGTTAAAAAAGATATCTTAAAGAAGAATTTAAGATCTAGAGCTTACAGTTTGTTTCGTGGGGCTGCTTTCTCTATGAGTATTTTCTTCTTTCTTGACAACACTCTTTGCTTTTTCTTCTTTTTTGACAACACTCTTTGCTCTCGCAACCTCTTCTTATTCATTCCTTAACTTATTTTCTGATCTTCCAGAACTTGGGTTTTACTTAATACAGAGATTGAAGTTGCAGTGATACTTATAGCATTTCTTCTGGACATTTCTCTCAATCTTGGGTGTGGATTTCTTTAGTGGTCAGCTTAGAGGCTGCTATAAAAAAAAATACCATAGACCGGGTGGCTTCACCAACATTTATTTCTCACAGTTCTGGAGGCTAAAACTCCAGGATTCGTGTGCCAGTATGATTGAGCTCTTGGTGAGGGCTGTCTTCCTGGCTTGCAGATGGTTGCCTTCTCACCGTGTCTTCACATGGTAGAGACAGAAAGTTCTGAACTCTTCCTGTAGGGGCGCTTCACCCTCATGACGTCATTAAGCCTAGTTACCTCTTAAGGATCCCCACCTCCAAATACCATTACATTGAGGGTTAGAGCTTCAACATACAAATTTGGGGGAAGGGGCACAAATATTCAGTCTATAGCAGGTTCTGTGTCTCATTTGGTCTTGGTGTTGTGTTTCAGCCCTGAATCGTGTGCAGTTACTTGGGCGAGTGGGTCAGGACCCTGTCTTGAGACAGGTGGAAGGAAAAAATCCAGTCACAATATTTTCTCTAGCGACTAATGAGATGTGGCGATCAGGGGACAGTGAAGTTTACCAGATGGGTGAGTAGAAAAGATGGGGGTTTAATTTTATCAGCAATAAATAGATACTATTTACTGCCAGTTGTCTAATTTAGAGATAAGCCACTTTAAACAAGATCTGTCTTTCTGTTTGTTCTCTTAGCAATTGTGACGTTGGTTTTCCTGGGCATGTTGTCCGTTGGCATTTGTAACCAGTTTCCTATTCTTGTGATTTAGGTGATGTCAGTCAAAAGACAACATGGCACAGAATATCAGTATTCCGGCCAGGCCTCAGAGACGTGGCATATCAGTATGTGAAAAAGGGGTAAGTTGAAGAAGGAAGGATCTTATGGATTGAATGGTTTAAAGAACTGATAAGAAGTGTTCTCATGGCAAGTAGTGTGTAGCCTCTTAAATCCCTGAGTACTACTAATGACTGTATTAATTTAAGAGGTATTTACTAAGTCCTCGATACTATATATGCATGGCGTGTTGCCATGTGTGACTAATTAAAAGGTACGTAAAACATAGTTTTAGCTTTCTAAGAGTTTACAGTTTAGGGCAAACAGGGTGTGTACATAAATAGAAATAGATGAGGCAGGAGAGAAGGCAAAGTGGCATTTGAGCAAGTGGAACATCTGCTTTCAGGAATTGCTGTGCCTCTGTGGCCGGGGATGCTGAGTGTGGCTCCTTGCCTGTTGGCTCCCACATGCTGTTCCAGGAGACAACCTGTCACGTCTGAAGCCTGACACGCTGACTTCATCTTCATGGCTGTTATTTTATATTTGATGATTTTCTATAGGCTTAATAGTTCCCTTTCGGAAGGCTTGGATTGAGTATGTGTAAAAAGTATGTTTTCCAGACTCATAGAAGGACAAAATGGTGTGTGTAACAGCAGTTGTATTGATAGTTAATATGTTTAGAAATGTACTTGTTTTATAGAAATAAAACAAATTTCATGAAAAAGAATTTAGCAATCACTAAAATTTTTCATTTCAATAACTGTATAGCTTTTTTCCTATGTATCTTCATTGCCCTTTATGTATGTGTTTATGAATATGTGCACATACACACACACATATAAGGTATTTCAAGGGAACTGTCTACACTCCCACTTACTGATTGATGGGTGTGTGTGGGGGTGGGGAGCACCTGACATTTCACTGATCTTTCTGTGTTGTACTTTTTTGGTGGTGGTAGACTCTCAAAACTGGTGCTATTGTCATTTTTCCACTCTTGAAAATCATGGTTAGGTTTGTTACCTAGTTTAGCCTCTAGATAGTGTAGAAATAGTCTTAGTAATTACCTCTAAGCTGATACGGTGTAGAAATAGTCTTAGTAATTAACTCAGGGTAATATTATACTAAGCTACAAATTCATATTTTGAATTTTAATCATCTAAATTTCTAAGGTCATAGAAAAGAATTGATAAATAAATGAAAATTAAGTCTGTTAGGGACTCCAAAATCAAAGGTCAAGGAAAATGATACATTGTAAATTATTCCTAGAGATTTAAAGGTTGCCACTAAATTGCCCTTTGAACTGTTTTATTTCATTTTTTAACTTCCATAAGAGAAATAGCTGACAGATGAAAACATTGTCTGTTTTACCTAGATGTTACCAAGTCTGTTTGTACACTCTGTTTCAGTACTTCTAATCCTGAACCTTGAGAAGTGGTAGCAAAAATTAGGTTATGTACGATTATATATTTCATCCTTGTCATATAGTCAGTACCACCCCGACCTGACTCTTATAACGCATATTAGGATCTCAACTAAAAACTGTACATTTTATTTATATCAGGTCTCGAATTTATTTGGAAGGGAAAATAGACTATGGTGAATACATGGATAAAAATAATGTGAGGCGACAAGCAACAACTATCATAGCTGGTAAGCTTGTGAAAATAGCTGTTTTTCTATTTTCTCCTTTTCTTTTTCAAAAGCTTGGCTACCTTGTAACTAACTAGGTTAAGAGTACCAGTACTTAGGAGGTAAGGCAACTCACTAGAAGATGTCCATGACTCTGATTTCTCTACATGGTAAGAGTCTCTACATTTATCCATTCCTTTAAAAAATTATTTTTATACTCACAGTTTTAGTCACCAGTAACTTTTGAATAAAGCCTAAAACTGAATTGTCCATCCCAGTACCTATTGTTGAGAATTACCAAAACTGAATGTATTGTCTTTTGGAAGGCTCTAGCCCTAACCAGAAAGAAGCATATGCCAAGATAAGAATTACACTAATGTGAGTGTGCAGATTTATTCAGAACCTCTTTGGTACTTAGTATGCTGAAATTTCTATTTGAAATTGAGATTTTTTTTAAATTTTATTTTTTCTGAGACAGAGTCTCACTCTGTTGCCCAGGCTGGAGTGCAATGGCACGATCTTGTCTCATTGCAACCTCCATCTCCCGGGTTCGAGTGGTTCTCCTGCCTCAGCCTCCTGAGTAGCTAGGGTAATAGGTGTGTGCCACACCACCTGGCAAATTTTTGTAATTTTCATAGAGACGGGGTTTCACCATGTTAGCTGGTCTTGAACTGCTGACCTCAGGTGATCCATCCGCCTCGGCCTCCCAAAGCTGTGACATCACAGGCATGAGCCACCGCGCCCAGCCAGGAAGTTTTTAATATTCTCTTTTTTTGTTTTTGTTTTGAGACAGTGTCTCCCTCTGTCAACCAGGCTTTAGTGCAGTGGTGTAATCACAAGCTTACTGCAGCCTCTACCTCCCCAGGCTCAGGTGATCTTCCCACCTCAGCCTTCTCCTGAGTAGCTGGGACTACAGGTGTACACCACCACGCCTGGCTAATTTGTCAGTTTTTTTGTAGAGATGAGGTTTCACTATATTGCCCAGGCTGGTCTCAAACTGCTGGGCTCGAATGATCCTCCCACCTCAGCCTCCCAAAATACTGGAATTACAGGCATGAGCCGTTATGCCCGGCCTAATACTCTCTTTAAACAAAATACAGTACAACATAGAAAAGATGTACATGTAAAGGTTAAAGAAGATGAACAAGATATCCCCTAGGAAAGAGTTTTTAAATTTTTGAAAATGCTATAAGAATTTTGAAAATGCTGTAAGAATTTTGAAAATGCTGTAAGAATTTTGAAAATAATATACTCCTCTGGATGTCTGCAAGTGACATTAAGACATTTTTTTCAATATAAAATTGTGTTATTTTTCAGTGTATTAATGGAATCTAAATAGCATAGCAATGTGATACCTGCTATCCTGTAAAAAATACCGATTCAGCATTTGGAAATTTTACATTATTCTTTTTTCTTTGAACTTGTTTTACTGTTTTTATTTTCCTCTCAGAAGTGTATCTTAATAATATTTGGTATAGTTAAGAATTTTGTATTACCCTATTTGTAACAAAAATGCATACATAAAAGAAACTTTAAAATATTTAAAACAATTCTATAACAAATTTTCCTCAATTGACTTATCATTAAAGTTGTTTTTAGTACCTAATTGACCAAAATAATTTTAATGTATTTAAATTATATTGGAAATATGTCTTTAAATGAGATAAGTAGTGCTTTTTTCACTTCTTGAGTAAATTGCTAAAATTAGACACTGTGAATTTTGTGCTTTTGTTTTTATGGATTTTTTTGTGCTTTTGTTTGTTTTTATGGATATAAATACTAAGAAATAAGAAACCTTTTTAAAATAAATACATGGCAATAAACTAAATTTTACTATAGTAATGTCTCTGAGTTTATGAACTTCTGAGATATGCTCAAATTAGATAATATTTTTAAAAATTAATTTTTGGGTTGGGTGCAGTGGCTAACACCTCCCAGTCCTTTGGGAGGCTGAGGCAGGTGGATCATTTGAAGTCAAGAGTTCAAGACCAGCCTGGTGAACATGGTGAAACCCTGTCTCTACACAAAATGCAAAAATTAGCCAGGTCTGGTGATGTGTGTCTGTAGTCCCAGCTACTCAGGAGGCTGAGTCATGAGAATTGCTTGAACCCAGGAGGCAGTGTTTGTAGCGAATTGAGATCACACCACTGCACTCCAGCCTGGGCAATAGAGCAAGACTCTCTCAAAAAAAATAAATAAATAAAATTTTTTTTTTACTATGGAAAATGTCAAACATATATAAGAGCAGAAAGAATAGTGAAATGAACTCCTACCATTTCACTTCAGTATCAGCTTATGGACAGTGTTATATCCATGCCTCCAGCCACTTGTTGTCCACCTAGATTATTTTGAAATAGATGCTAGACATAAGTTTATTCATAAATTTCCATAGGGATCTCTAGAAGATACGGTGTCTTTTTGAAAATGTAACTACTGCGCTATTATCACACCTAATATTGATACATTACTGTTAATTTTTTAACTAAATATCATAGTGTTCAAATTTCCTTGATTACTTCATAAACATTCATACATTATATTACATGGTTTCTACCTTAAGTCTCTTAGATTTTCCTTTTATCTTTCTTCTTTCCTTTGCTCCAGGGTTCATGTCTTAACCACCATACCTTATTAATAATTTATAATTTGTTGTATAGAATGCTCATATGTTTTCTTATTGCTAAGTTTCTTTGAAAGTTTATTAACCTTGAAAAGCACTGTAGGTATTTTCCTACCCTCCTGTGGGTCCCAATGTAAACCAAGAGTGTGGGCAAAATTTAGATTGTTCGGATTATTGTGTTGTTAGTAACCAAGCCAAATGGCAGCATTTCAGATGATCTGCTGTTTTGTTTTTTTCTTGTCACTAGGTTCCACTAGCACAGTCAGTTTACTTTAGGTTTATGTGTGATGGCAAAATTGAGCTCTTTAGTGACATTTGAATTGAAGAAAATAGAGCTTATTGGTTGATCTGTTATATTGGTGATTTTTTTTTTCTCCTAGGGATCCTATCTGTAACTTAAAAATCACCACCAGTGGATGGCACTCTTGGCTTTTTCCACAGTGATATTTGAATAGTCTCTTCTGAAGTAACCATTCTAGACCGAAACATTCTAGTTTTTGGAAGATTATGGTCATGAACAAATATTCAGTCCTTGCTGGATAATTTTATCGTTACAAGAATCTGGATCTTTTGGAATTATAAAGGAAATGCAGTCATTCCTCCATGTCCCTTGGTTCTGCATCTGTGGATTCAACCAATCACAGATCGAATATATTTGAAAAAAATAAACCAATAAAAATAATACAACAACAAAAAATACAAGAGAAACAATACAGTGTAACAGCTGTCAACATACCATTTACCTTGTGTTAGATGTTGTAAGTAATCTAGAGATGATTTAAAGTATACAAGAGGAAGTGCATAGGTTATATGTGATTACTATACCATTTTATATCAGAGACTTGAGCATTGTGGATTTTGGTATCCATAGAGGTCCTAGAACCAGTCCCCCCATGGATACTGAAGGATGACTACTACTTGCCTCTGTTGTTTTGTTTATCTTTAGCTAACTCCCTCTGGAATAGCATTTTAAGAGCAACGTTTGATATTTTTGGATAAAAATGCCAACTCTGTGATGTTGATTCATAAAAATGTTCCCAAGAATTGGTATATTAAAATTATTCTGGGCCAGGTGCAGTGCTCATGCCTGTAATCCCAGCACTTTGGGAGACCAAGGCGGGCGGATCACTTGAGGTCAGGAGTTCAAGACCAGCTGGCCAACATGGTGAAACCCTGTCTCTATTAAAAATACAAAAATTAGCTGGGTGTGGTGATGCACACCTGTAATCCCAACTACTGGAGAGGCTGAGGCGGGAGAATCGCTTGAACCCGGGAGGCAGCAGTAAGCTGAAATCACACTGCTTCACTCCAGCCTGGGTGACAGAGACTCCATCTCCAAAGGAAAAAAAGAAATTATTCTGTTTTATAATTTAAAAATAAAACTTCTTCTATTTGAATTTTTAAAGTTAAAAACATCAATAAATCCTGTCATTGCTAAGAGGGCCACATATGGACTCTTACTCTTTCTCTAGACCTCCAGAGTGTAGAATGTGATATACTTTTATCCTTTTCTCTGAGGATGTGCTGCCTGGTGTCATGGCATCTGCCTGACCATTGCAAGCATCCAATTTTGTGACCAGTTCTTTTGCAGGAAATTGTTTCTAAGAAGGCTTTATCTTCTTTTCAGGGAAGACAAGAAATATCCCACCTCTTCTAACAAAATCTGAATTATTAGAAAAGCAGCCAGTGCCTAACTTTTAGCTCCACTTATGCCAACTGTATGTATACCTCTCATGAGCATAGCAAGTTATTTAATATTTTGAAAATTTGTCTAAAATCCTTTTAATGAACAGCACTAAAGTTGTATGTATTAGAGGAGAATTATTGAATGAGATGGAGAAAGAGTTCTGAAATTAATATTGACATTTTGGCTTTTTTACAGATAATATTATATTTCTGAGTGACCAGACGAAAGAGAAGGAGTAGAAAGGATGATTCTTCTTCGGCCATCATTGGGTACAGTCTCATTTCCAAGTCATGTATAATCTTTATCGCTCCCAAGGACAAGAATTAAAATACTCTTTTACATAAAATGAGTGATAATCTTTTTTCTGACTGTCGTTCTCACTCCCCTTTTTGTGGTATAATCTTGGTAGCTACTATCTGTTACAGCATTTACTAGTTGTTTATTCTTTTAGGGGTGGTTTCTGTGTACAGGCATACAAAATAGTAAACTTTCAGGCTCTTTTGTGGTATGGCAAAAGGATAAACATCCTTTGGGAAGGTCTCCTGGTTTTTGTATACACTTCTCTTACAATATTGATTTGTCCACTCAGTGAATTTACTGAGCATCACTGTATGTGAGACATTTATCCCATGTTTGTAAATACTGATTTTCTTACCGTTTTGCTCTGTAGACGTGAAGGCAAGGACTGAATCTTCTGTTTGCCTGCACTTCAAACAGTGCTTTACACAGAATAGCCACTCAGTAAGCACTGGTAGATGAATCATCCCAATGGGATTCTAAGCTTCAGGCAAATTGAAGGGGGTTGCTGAGCAGTGGTTAGTGTGTAACCTAAACATCTTTAAGACTAACCTACCTTCTTCATATCTTTTGTTTTCAGACAGTTTCACTAGTAGCATTTATGAAACATAGTTTGCCAGCAGTAAGGACCTGAAATATAGTTAGAGGTGAAATCGTTCATCTCCAGGTGATGCCACAGGAGCTGTGGTTCTATTCTATCTTTCTCTGCCCCTCTTATCTATCCTTTTAGAGTCTTCTGCAGAACTCTTCTTAGGGAAGGTAGAAGAGGATCCTCTTAACAACCTCTGTCAGTGCCTCCCTTAGAGTCTTAGGTCCTACATTTTCCTTTTATTTTTCCATATGGATCGTTAGGTACATCATGTAATCTTACTTTTTATTACAAGATTCAGGAAATTTTAGAATACTAATAATTTACCGATAAAGATGAAATGAACTCAGTTTTTCATGCATCTTTTGCTGTTTAACGTTTGCATCAGCTCTCCCGAGGTCTGCCTGCCGGTTTGCTGCTGTGTCCCAGAGGTTGGCTGCCACTGTGCAGGTTGTTTTGTTCAAGTGGTAGAAGTCTCTCATACTATCTAGGCCACTCTGTCTCCAGTTTGGCCTCTGACCCAGCCTATGTATTTGCTCCCCAGCCTACATGTTCTGTCCTCTCTGCCTAAGAGTACAGGTGTAGTGCTAACTGCAGCTTAGGTCATATTGGACTTTATTAGGTTCAGAATTCACAAGCTATGTTATAGGTCCATGACTTTTTTGTCTTAAGGTATTTTCTGCACACTTGAGTAGCTTTTTAATACTTACAGTGCATTTTGGTTGAGGAAAGATGGAATTTTTTAGCTTTATCCTCTCATTGCCCAGGAACAGTAGAACATTCATTGCTGTTTTCTCCTGCCAGCCATCTTTCTTTTTCTTGCAGCTGGGACTATTAATCAGCATATTAACTCTGCTCTCTTAAGTTCACACATTAAAACTGCCTGGTGATGTAGTCTTTATTCCTTTGTGCCACATTCCTTAAGCAAAATTGTGAAGTGTATAAAATTTATCTTTTGAGCAACTCTATTTCTTCCATCAGCACAGCAACTTTTATGTGCCTTAAATGTTGTGAGAAATTATGCAGATTAATAGTCCTGTTTAAGCAGGGTGATAAATCTCTGCTTTGGGAAAATGACATGCTGAACAGAAGAGTTTAATTACCAACCCAGAGCGGTTTCTGAGTCCAGAATGCAGGGGCAGAAGAGGATGCTGTGCTGGACCACTGTGAGCCGAGGGGCTCTGCTTTCAACTCTTCCCTGAAGGCTGCCTCTTCTCTCCACGCCTCTGAAAGGCTGTGGGGCTGAAGCAGCAGTGCTTTATCAGACTCAGGTGTGTAGCGTGCCGTCCTCAGCATGCGTATGATTCTAGCAGACTGATTCAAGTCAGTCAGACTTGCTAGGTAAACTTTGCCCACCCCTAGGAAGCCCCGTCTGCTGAGAAACTTTCTCCTGCTCCCTAGCTGGTCTAGGCAGAGCACATGTGGGAATATGATAGCGGTAAAATACTGTAGGGATCTTCTAACCCAAGCTTTGGGTCTTGCATTTCCCTTTTGGATGTGATAGTGTCAGGGAATAAACCTCAGAAAACTGCATTGTGACCTCGATTTGGAGGTTTCATGTTAAATGGTAAGACGAATAGTATACCTAGAAGAATGGGAGAAAAAGTATCAAACAGTATGTCCAGGGTATCCCGTTTTTGAAAAAGAAGTTGTAATTAAGATATGCTTAAAGTCTGGAGGGAGAAACAGGATATTATCTCTAGGGAGGGTGATTATGTGTGATTTTCCTTGTTTCTTTACAATTTATATATATTTTAGCATTGAACATATATTACTTTTATAATGAGAAAAAAATAAAACTTTATTTGGGGAAAAAGATCTTTCCATTATTTCTGAGCCAGGCTTACTTTACTCATTCACTTTTAATGAGTACCACTTCACTGGATGTGAACAAGAAAATCTTTTATATATTTTCCTCCACCATCTGCATTTTAGCATCTCATGCTTGTATGATTCATTCATCTGTTAACACGTGTACACAGCCCAAAATAATTTACTTTAAACATCAACCTAGCCAGGTGCAGTGACTCATGCCTGTAATCCCAGCACTTTGGGAGGCCGAGGCGGGCGGATCACGGTGTCAGGAGATCGAGACCATCTTAGCTAACACGGTGAAACCCCGTCTCTACTAAAAATACAAAAAATTAGCTGGACATGGTGGCGGGCTGTAGTCTCAGCTGCTCGGGAGGCTGAGGCGGGAGAATGACATGAACCTGGGAGGCAGAGCTTGCAGTGAGCCGAGATTGTGCCACTGCACTCCAGCCTGGGTGACAGAGCAAGACTCCATCTTAAAAACAAACAACACCAACCTATATGAGATCTACTTTTTGATGCCTTTACAGTTCTCAAAGAATCAATCATTTCTTAAAACACACTGGACATTTAATTCAGAGATACCTAAAAATTGACCAAAGATATGTTTCTGTGGCAGTTTTGGCAATACAGTATACATTTCTTTGGGAATTACTCATCATTGCAATGTGGATTACAGCCTAACTTTTGCAGCTCAGTTAGGAGAAGTTAGTGCTGTTTTCCCTTTGTTCCCAAATGAGATCATGCAATTCTTGAAGGCAGGGTTTTCTTTTACTCAAACCACCCTTTTCCCCCAATCTAACTCAGCCTAGCACAGTGACATGAAGATTAATAAATGTTTGTCATTCAGTTAGGTGGGACTCAAAAAGAAAATGAGGGCAGGATCACTTTACTATTTTTCTGTCAGAGTTTGCATAATATTCTGTGAAGATCTGTGGGAGTAAGAGCAAGAAAATCATTGTGGAAAATGAGAGGCAAGTCCAAGGTTAATGAATTACAGGGAAATCTCTTAAGATGAAACAATAATCATATTAATGACTGACATTTCTCTTCTGGTTATTATGTACTGAGCACTAAGCGAAGTACTTTTTATCATTGTCTCATTTAGCTATTATACTAAGAAGAAGGTACAATAATCCCATTTTACAGGTGAGGAAACCCAAAATCGAGAGAGGTTAAATAACTTGTCAAAGTCATGCATCTTCCAAGATGCACACCTGGAGTTTGAACTCAGGTATGTGAAGTTTGCATTTTGCTTTCTGCCTGCTGCCTGCTTCCACTTGCATTCATTCTCCACTGGCCCTCCATATCCACAAATTCCCACAGCCAACTGTATTTGTCCATTTTCACACTGCTGTGAAGATACTACCTGAGGCTGGGTAATATATAAACAAGAGGTTTAATTAACTCACAGTTCTCCATGGCTGGGGAGACTTCAGGAAATTGATGGTCATGGCAGAAGGTGAAGGGGAAGCAGGCACCTTCTTCACAAGGCGGTAGGAGAGAGAGGGCACAGGGGAAACTGCCACTTTTAAAACCATCAGATCTGGGGAGAATTCCCTCACTATCAGGCAACAGCACGGGGGAAACCGTCCCCATGATCCAGTCACCTACCAGGTCCCTACCTTGACACGTGGGGACAACAATTTGAGATGAGATTTGGGTGGGGACATAACCAAACCATATCATCCTGCCCCAGACCCTCCCAAATCTCATGTCCTTTTCACATTTCAAAACCAATCATGCCTTCTCAACAGTCCCCCAAAGTCTTAACTCATTCCAGCATTAACTCAAAAGACCAAGTCCAAAGTCTCATCTGAGACAAGCCAAGTCCCTTCCACCTATGACCCTGTAAAATAAAGTTAGTTACTTCTAAGATACAATGAGGGTACGGGCATTGGGCAAATGTTTCCGGTCCAAATGGGAGAAATTGACCAAAATAAAGGGGCTACAGGCCTCATGCAAGTCTGAAACTTGGCAGAGCAGTCATTAAATCTTAAGACTCTGAAATAATCTCCTTTGACTCTATGTCTCACATGTAGGCCACCCCAGGGCATGCTGATGCAAGAGGCGAGCACCCACAGTCTTGGTCTTGGGCAGCTGTCCCTGCCTTCCTGTGGCTCAGCAAGGTACAGCCCCTGTGTCCGCTTTCATGGGCTGGTGTTGAATACTTGCAGCATTTCCAGGCACATGGTGGAAACTGTCAGTGGATCTACCTTTCTGGGGTCTGGAGATGGGTGCCCTCTTCTCACAGCTCTACTAGGCAATGCCCCAGTGGGGACTCTATTGGGGGTCTACAACCCCACATTTTCTTTCCACATTGCTGTAGCAGAGGTTCTCCTTGAGGGCTCCTTTTAGCCATGGCTGGTGCTGGATCCGCTGGGATGCATGGAACCAAGTCCTGAGGCTGCACAGAGAAGTTGGCCCCTGGGCGTGGCCCAGGAAACTATTTTTCCCTCCAAGGCCTCTGGGCCTGTGATAAGAGGGGCTGCCAGGAAGGTCTCTGACATGCCCTAGAGATATTTTCCCCATTGTCTTGGCTATTAACATTTGGCTCCTTGTTACTTATGCAAATTTCTTCAGCCAACTTGAATTCCTTCTCAGAGAGTTGGTTTTTCTTTTCTACCACATGGTCAGGCTGC